TATTTGAAACACTATAGCAGCGCGAAGAAGTTTGGCTCCACATAATCTCCAGTTTCAGATTTACATACATACATCCAAAACCATTTTTTCAAAACGATGAGTTATGTCATTCATATAGCAAATGAACGACATATTAAATTGTTGGTAAAATTTTACATTCATGTGATTTGTATAAGCATAAGTATACAATTGAAATAATTTTTCGGCCATACATTGTTATAACAAAGGACAAAATTATGCCAAAAGTCGACATTGGATTTGTTATAAATTCTTGTCTGTTAACCGCTTCAAAACCCTCCAGCGCTATAAAAAAGATTTTCTTTTATACAATTAACATTTTTCGAATATGTACTTCGAAGATTTCATGTAGTTGGACACCTTTCATCGAAAATTACAATAAAATTTGAAATATCGTATTTTTATACATATTTACATTTTCCTATAATAAGTATGTTATCCTTTCTTTAATACCATTAGATGGAGCATAAGTTTTTATGTGGAAATATTTTCAGAGCCAAATTTTCGAAAACGAACAAATTTCCCAATATTCTACATAATCCATGAATGCTTCGTATTATAAACACATGCAATAAACCATAATTATTTCTAAGACAAACAGAAAATGTTATATATGGATAACAATGCTCCCAAGTTTTAAAAAAATTATACACCCTGTGTTGGTTAAAAATTTCGAATTTGTTTGAGTTCGTTGGTCTGGAAAGGTGTCCAAACTAGAAAAAAATTATTAAAGTTGCTGTCAAATAGTTATAGATATAAATTTCTTAAAAGTTTATAAGTATGTGTTTGATACACAAGGGTGTTTTTATTGAATGTTTTGTATTTTACAATAACAACTACATATTTGCAAGCAAAATCCACCAACTTATAGTACATTTTCCACATATACATATAAGGACTCAATACACTAAACTATAAATATACAATCCATTGCTATAAACATAAAATCCAATGCTATAAAATATGTAATCCACAACTATAAAATGTAATCCAATACTATAAAACAAAATCCACTGCTATAAAATTACATTCCACGTTCCACACTTAACTATTAGGTGTCAACATAAATTTTGTCCATAAATTCATCCCTTAAAAGTATTCACAACAATATTTTTGCTTTGGTTTAATAAACAATGTATTTGCTAACGTTAAAATACTTTTACTTCGTTAATATCATCCCTTGTATTGTAATTTATATATGTATGAGTGATGAACCGGTATAATATACATACATACATAATTTACACACACCACGACAGTTTCAATATTCCTCCCCATTAAAGTCCAAGTAATTGCAACGCAATAACTAACTTAATCCGTACGTTAACAAAACGTGTTAAAGTTGAAAACAAATATGGATGTATAGTCGAGTTGGCCGACCATATGATACCCTACACCAGTGAATATGTTCAAAATGTGGATTATTTTTGAAGTAATAAAACATTTCATTTACTTTTTTCCTTAATTCCGGAATAATAATAATAATTATGAGCTGAAAGCCCTATTCGGGAGGTGCGGTTGTATGGGGGCTAGGCGAATAAATGTACCGATTTTAACCATTGTCAATAGGCTTCAACCTAGTTTTTTTTAGATTTTTTGCAATTTTCAAATTATCATGAAAATGGACATGGACACACAGACAAGCAGACAAACAGACAAATAGACAGACAGAAAGACAGGTAGACAGATAGACGGACATACATGGCTCAAAAATTTTAAGCCGATTGGTATACTTCAAGCCGGGTGTAGGATTAACATATTTAGGTGTTACAAACATCAGCACAAACGCATAATACCTTCCCTACTATAGTGGTGTATAGAGTATAAATCACGTCTGGTCATTTGTTTGTTATTGTTTCACAACAAAATTACTAAACTGATTTGAAAGAATCAACGGAATCAACCATATACTGCATCTGGTTTAATGTTACTGCTACCCACATATTTAAAAATATGCTAAGCCGGATTTCTTGAATGTGATGGACAATCTGTTGGTAGAGAGACTTTGATTAATCTAAAACTAATTTATGTCGAATTATATCGTTATACTGCTATTTTTCCACCATTTTCAATACCAATATTAAGAAATATTTCGGAAATACTTCATTGCTCTAGAGTCTACCTTTCGTTCGGACCCTATGGCGTTTTCAACAGACGGGCCTTAGAACCTCATACGGATTCAGAATATATATACGTTTGTATTTTGCCTTTATCATAAAACAACCGAACAGTAATAAAAAAGTAGACCACACAATCGTTTCGAAGGCAAGCAAGAGAGCGTGAGCATCACGTAGTCTAAGAGACTCCGTTTTGACCAGACCACTCCATTCGTCAGATGTAGTATTGTATTGTTATAGATCCAGCCGGTAGCAGTGAGAAATCTCAGAATATCATTAAGCTCAGATCCAGATATCTCAGCATGGTTAGATATGAAGTAACTGCCAAGAAAACGGTTTCTTTTCATGGATAGAGCAGGGCATTCGAAGAGAATATGGAATCTTCTCTGTAAAGGCCCTATCTAGCACCCAGTTACCTGTTATTACTACTATCAATCTCGATATATCCCGTCTACTTCGGTTTATAAGGTGTATTGTGCGTTTTTCATTGAAGGAGGGCCACAACATGTGTCTAGGTTATTCCACCTATTTTCAGCCTTTTAAAGATAGAATCTGAGGATACTATTCTTGACAAAACCTAACGGGGTTGCTACTGGAACGGCGTTCCAGCAGATTCCGTTCTGACAAGCTCATCTGCCTGTTCATTTCCATAATGGTCCCTATACACAGGGACCCGAACAAGGATAATATCAGACAGGCAACCCAGCCTTGACAGATCTTTATTGCATTGTCTAACTAATAGGGAAGTGATAGTATAAGAATTTGGTGAGAGAAGTGCTGCTTAACTATCGACAAAAATTCCCATGTTGCCGCGAATATTGAAGTCGTGTATTACCCTACAAGCTGACATAATCGCAAATATTTCAGTGTGAAAGACACTACAGTTGTTGGGAAGACGGTGAAATATACTTACCCCAGCTTCTTCACAGAAGACACCATAAGCAACACCATAGTTCATTTTAGAACCATCTGTAAAGATTCTGGTAGTATATTCGCTCGGTAGGTTACCCCTACACCACTCGCTCCTGGAAGGAACTCTGACTTTGAAAACTCTATCAAAATCAGTATGTGGGCTGATGTAATCGGATGGTTGGTTCAAGATTGGAGGTAATTGGCCTAAAATCTTAGCGTGTCCATATCGTCACCTAAATTGCGTTTTATTTGACCATATGTTCTTGATTTCCAACTTTCGGATGAGTTAAGCCTCGCAGCGCCGCAAGCAGATATGACCATAATATGAAGATCTATATGTAGGTTGTGAAATATAGTGTTCAGAACTTCTGAAGGACTAGTTCTTAGTGCACCTGTTATTCCATTGTATGCTGATCTCTGAACTTTGTATAGCTGATCTACAACAAATTTCTTCTTAGTTGAAGTTCACCATTCAAGAGATCCATATATAAGTATGGACGTACCATTTAATTATGTTGGGACTAAGTTCCCATTTCAATCCTAACATCTTACGACAGATATATACCTTCTTGACTCTGTGCTGGATGTTACAAATTTCTTCTTAGTTGAAGTACACCATTCAAGAGATATGACGTACCATTTAATTATGTTGGGACTTAGTCCCCATTTCAATCCAAACATCTTACAATAGGTATAGTAGACAACGTTGCCTTCTTGACTCTCTGCTGGATGTTGAGTTTCCATGATAATTTGGAATCTAGATTAATTCTTAGATATTTGGCATTATTCGATAAGGATAATTCGCAGTTCTTTAACCGCGGCAAGTTGAAGCTAGGAATCTTGATCTTTGTTTGAATAGTACCAGTTCTATCTTGCTTGATTTTACTCCTAGGCCGCTGTCTGTGGCCCAACTATCGAGTAGCTACAAAGCATTAGACATGATATCACTAATCACGTTTGGTAACATTCGTGATACCAATATCACAACAGCGTAAGCAACAACTTTTATCCCTCTGTTGTCCAGTTCAATTAGAATCGAGTTAACGACGACTACGCCGCCCTGTGGTGTGCTTCGTTCTACCTGTTTGGACTGAACGCTATTACCAAGACTTGCAGTAACTATTCTGGATTTCAACATAGTTACTAACCAGTTGCGGATATACTCTTCAACATCTAGATTAGCAAGTGATGCTGAATTGCAGAATTCTATGTCTCAGAAGGCTCCCATAGTATATTGTTTCAATTCGAGGGATCTTTCTATAACTCTGACAACCTCATGTATAGCTGTCTCTGTAGATCGTCCTTTAAATTAGGCATTTTGACTAGTTGAAAGTCACGATGAGCTATCTAGCCGTTGCCTAATATGTGAGTTAATGAGTCTTTCCAGCGTTTTGAGCCGAAAAGATGAAAGACTAATTGGACGAAAGTCTTTCGCATTCTCATGACTCTTTTTACCAGCTTTGGGGATAAAAACGACCTTAACCTTTCTCCAATTCCATGAAGCCAGAGGATGATATATTCTTTTGGGGTTTAATGATCATACGATTGGTATCTCAAGACGTGATTGCAATTTAAAGAACTTAGAGGAAAGTATACTTTTTCTCTGAATTTTACAAACTTGATGCCTTTTTTTGCAAATTTTCCAGAACCCAGCCGACAAGAAGTAGGGTTCTCGAAATCAATTCAATTTTAGAATTTCCACATATAATGAAAACTTAATCATATCATTGAAAGTAATATTTTTCTTCAGTTCCAGTTTGTATTTCTTTACTGTGTATATGTTTCCTGAAGTAACTCCTAAATATATGCTGTTATTTTGCAAAACACACTACGCCCATTTACCCCACTAACAAAAAACTCATTAAAATGCACATTTTGTAATATGATTTATTGATTTTTTTTCTTCAACATTTTTGTCAATAATATTTATTGTTTATTTTATTGATTTTAGGTTTTTTTTTCTTTTGTTGTCTTTTAATGTTAAATAATAATTTTCATTACAAATATCTGCTTGTTTGTCTAAACAAAATTAACTTAGATATCAAATCACAATTACAACATATAATTTATAATAATATAAGTACAATGGCAATCAACAATTAATTTTCTTCTTTTTTTTAAGGGGGATTATATCATTATTTTTTTTAATTTCAAAATTAAAATTTCTAAACTAAAATTTGTATCTAAAATTTTTTTAAAAATAGTTTTTAATGCTTTTTGAAAAAAATAGTAATAAAATTTGTTTGCTTTCAAATTACATTTGGTTATTTACAACAGCTTTAGTTTGGACTGAGTTTTATAAGTTTTAAGGCTTAAAAAAATAGAAATTGGCATAAAATTATAATGTTTTTTAATCATTACAAAATTTGTGTCTGTTCTTACTGGTTTAAAAATGACCACCCATATTCCTGTTTTTTTGTAATATTTCTATAAATATTTATAGATATTTCATTAATGCTTACAAAAACTTATTTATTCTTAATTGATATTTAAATATAATGTGATTTTAAAGATTTTTTTTGAAACAGATCCATCAGATTGTATAAAAAGTGTTGCCTATTTAAAGGCCTACCAATAGCCTAGTTGTAGGCTATGTAAATTTTTATAAAATCTTATTAATCTGTGGGTTAAATCTTTAAATTTGATTTTTATTGTTTTTTTAACTTTGCAATGATCTTTACATTTCTTTTTATTTTATTTTTTTTTCTTTTTTCGATTATTAGTATTGCTATTTTGAATACCAGTACAAATATTTTATTTTTCTTTTATTCTTGTTGTATCTCAATAATGTTTTACTTTAAAGTAGAACTGAGTTTAAGAGTATTAATTTATAGTGACTGTTGCAAAAACTTAAAGTGATTCTGAGAATTTTGAATGATTTACGTAGGTTAGTGTATGACAAATAAACTGATATGTGGATTCAGTTTAAAATGAAATGATAATAAAATTAAAAAAAATCAATATGAATACCTTAGGCTTAATATTTCAACTATTAAAAATTGAACCATTTCTTAATATTGTACTGCTGTTACAACGAGTGAACCAGGAAGAAAAGAAAGAAACGAAGGAATTCATATATTCCAAAATATTATAATTATCAGTCGTTCTGAAGTGTTTGAATTGAAAATAGGCAAAGTTGACCTAACCGTCGAGTATTGTGGGGAATTTTTGACACAGATATAAATATGTTTGACTCTCTGTTAACAACACGAATCAGAGATGGACTACAGAATTTTTGATATAGTACAAAATTTTCTTAATATTCAGATGCATAAAAATATTTCAGTAAATTATAGGTTTACTAATCTATAGATTAGTCTATGGATCTATAGTCTATAGATCTGTCTATTATAGATCAGTCTTTTGACTAGTCTATATATCAGTCTATTGACTAGTGTAAAGATCAGTCTATTGACTAGTCTAGAGATTAATCTATTGACTGATTTATAGATCAGTTTATTGATCAATCTATAGATTAGTCTATTGAGTAGATTATAGATCAGTCTACTGACAAGACTATAGATTAGTCTACTGAGTAGATTATAGATCAGTCTACTGACAAGTCTATAGATTAGTCTCGAGATCATTCTATTGACTAGTCTATAAATCAATCTATTGACTAGTCTATAGATCAGTCTAATCTATAAATTAGTCAATTGACCAATATTTTGATTAGTGACAAGTCTATGGAACAGTCAATTGGCTTATTTATAGATCAGTCTATTGACTAGTCTAAAGATCAGTATATTGTCTAGTCCATAAATCAGTCTATTGACTAGTCTATAGATCGGATGTTGAATAGTCTAGAGATTAATCTATTGACTAGCCTATAGATCAGTCTATTGACAAGTCTATAGATCAGTCTAGAGATCATTCTATTAAGTAGTCTATAAAATCAATCTATTTACTAGTCCATAGATCAGTCCAATCTATAGATTAGTCTATGGACCAATATTTTGATTAGTCTATTGGCTTATTTATAGATCAGTTTATTTACAAATATATAGACCAGTCTATTGACTAGTCTATTGATCAGTCTATTGACTGGTCTATAGATCTGTCTATTTACGTTTATATACCGGTCTATTTGTTAGTCTATAGATCAATATTTTGATTAGTTTATAGACCAGCCTATTGACTAATCAATATATCAGTCTCTTGACATTTAAGATCAGTTTATTGACTAGTCTAGAGATCATTCTATGACAAATCTATAGTTTAGTCTATAGACAAGTCTTTACATCAGTCTATTGACTTGTCTATAGATCAGTCTATTGACTAGTCTATAGATCAGTCTAGATATCAGTTTATTGACCAGTCTATTAAGTAGTCTATAGATCAGTCCATTTACAAGTCTATAGATCAGTCTAGAGATGATTTTATTGGCTAGTCTATAAATCAATTTATTGACTGGTCTATAGATAGTCTATGGACCAATATTTGGATTACTGACTAGTCTATAGATCAGTCTATTGTCTTGTCTAAAGATCAGTTTATTGACTAGTCTAGAGATCAGTCTATTGACTAGTCTATAGATCAGTCTATTGACTAGTCTATAAATCAATCTATATTGACTAATCTATTGATCAGTCTAATCTATAGCTTAGTCTATGTCTAATCTATAGCTTAGTCTATCTAATATTTCGATTTGAGATTAGTCTATAGATCAGTCTATTGACTTAGTTATAGATCAGACTGGTCTATAGATAAGTCAATTGACTAGTCGATAGATCAGTCCATTGACTAGTCTATAGATCAGTCTATTGACTAGTTTATAGATCAGTCTATTGACTAATCTATAGATCAGTTTATTGTCTTGTCTATAGATCAGTATATTGATTAGTTCATAGATCATATATAACAGTCTATTGGTTAGTCTATAGATCAATATTTGGAGTAGTAAATAGACCAGTATTTTGATTTGTTTATAGACCAGCCTGTTGACCAATCTATAAACCAGTCTACTGACTGATCAATCTATTGACTAGTGTATAGTTTAATCTATTGACTGGTCCATAGATCAGTCTATTGATTAGGTCGTAGACTATATATGTATATCAGTCTATTGGTTAGTCTATACACCAATATTTGGACTAGTTTATAGACTAGCCCATTGACTAGTCTATAGAGGAGTCTACTGAAAAGTCTATAGACCAGTCTAATGACCAATCTACTGAATGATCAGTCTATTAACTATTCTATAGATCAGTCTAGAAATCAGTGTATTATATAGTGTATAGATCAAACTAGTCTAAAGATCCCTTTATTGATTAGTTCATAGTCTATTTATGCCAGTCTATTGGTTAGTCTATAGATCAATATTTTGACTAGTTTATAGACCAGTATTTTGATTAGCTTATAGACCAGCATATTGACCAGCATATAGCTTTAAAGTCTATAGACCAAATTTCTTAAAACCACAAAACAACTAGTGAAAAAAAGTACAGAGTAATGGTTCAATAAATGCATCTATTAAGAGATTTCTCTTATATGCTAGACTAAACTGAAATCAACAAATTATCTTTTCAGAACTTAATAATTTTAAAAGAATTCTACTAAATATAACATCAAATACTTATGATTAAAAACTAAAAAAAAAAAAACATAATATCATGACTTTAAAATGTTTGATTTAGTATTAGGCAACTATTTACAATTATTCTTCTTAAAATCCTTGGCCATTAAAAATATTGACTCACTCGAGTCAAGTCAATGCAAATTTTATAAACACAAATACTTCACATTCTTCTTTATTATTAAATAAATTGACTTTGAACTATTCTCAAAGCTTAAATGGGATGTTTTGGATGTAGTATGTAAGATCACATTGTTACTACTGATTACTTATTCAATTTAAAATTTTCAGGGATTCAAAATAGTTTTATCTCGAGTATAAGGAGGGGGCAATTTTTACTAAAATCTTAATATTTAAAAAAATATCTTTGTTTATTCATTTAAAACTATAATTTTCATTATATTTTGTTAAATAATCTTGCACATACAGTTTTACTTTTACTTTTATCCCTAAACTTATACCCAAAAAATACAAAATATATCCAAGGTATTTTTATATATGCATCAACTTTTTCTTTAACTTCTTCTTCTATATGTATGGATTTGTTTAAAAGACCTTAGACATTCTGGAGGAAACTTAAACTTACATACATACGTTTAGTACATGTTTAACTCACCACCACTTTAACGTGCACTTAGTAAAACATGGACTCAGACATTTTACAAATAATTTTATAAAATAATTTTGTTTTTCACTTTCTATACCTTTTCCTATCTCTCTTTTTCGCTCATTGTCTCTGACTCTCTAACTAACTATCACACATGCTCACTATGTCTGTGAACTTAATTAGTTTAAATTTTTTCAATTAATTCCATGGGTGTTTGAGGATCACCAGTACTTGTGCCACCATTTATTAACTCCGAACTTAAATCACTGATCGTTGTTACCACAGTATTGACCACGGTATTCACTACTTCCGGTATAGTGGCAATTGTGGCTGCAACCGTTGACACCACGGCTAAAGTGGCCGTTGATGTTACCGATGGCGGTGGAGCCATTGTAGTTGTGGTTATAGAACCAATTGGTGACAACGATGTTGTTGAGTTCATAGTTGTTAAAACAGTTGTTGCTTCAGTACTTGTTGTAGGCGTGGCTAGGGTGGAAGTCAATATAGCTGCGGCTATGGTTGCCGTATTATTTAATATAGTTGCACTTGTCGAAGTGTATTGATAGTGTGGATGATGATCCATTATATAGGGATACTTGGGACATGGATTTGTAACTTGAGCCCCCAGCATAGATTCGAAAACATAACCGATAAATGAACCCACGGTAAGACCCACATTATAGGAGAGAGTCATCATATTACCAGTTACCTCTCTTAAAGTAGCATTAACTTTAGCTGGTGCCAACATCATGGGTAAACTACCCGCCAAACCATTACTAACACCCAATGCTATGGTGAAAATAAAAGCAGCCGTTTCTCCCGATATAACCGGCTGATGTCTGGGTGCACAGCATAGCAGTAAAAGAGGCACCAAAACTATCCTTAAACCCGACATTAAAATCAATTGTCTACGTGACCAAGGATATGGTACAATAGCCAAAGTTTTTCCTATTAAATCCGAGGTATTAAATGTAAACATTAATAAAACCGGCATCCATGTACCCAAACTGCAAGATACTATTTCCGATTCTATGCCAGGATACAGCGAAAGGGTGACACAATAGGCCAATGCTATACACACCATATAGGGATAAATAGATTGTGCAACTTGCCATCTTGAAGCAAAACCAGTTTTTAAATCACTTAATTTACCAGGTGTACAGGTTCCCGGGGTCAAAACATGTTCTACTTTGAATGCTACTGTTGTGGGCGTGGTAGGTTCTTGTGGAGTACCCGGTATATCGGGTAAATTATTAAGACCCTCTATAACACTTTCACCGGCTGACGGATTGGAAAGTTCATAAACGGGATTACTGAAGCTTAAAGCTGCTGGTGTGGTGCTTGTGGCTATGGGTACTGTAGGACTACTGGGTTCCAGTGTTAAAACTCCATATTTGGCTGTGGGTGTTGAACCATCCAGGGCGTTCTGAAATAGGAAAATGTTTTTAAGATTGTCATTATGTAAGGAACATTTTAAAGATCTTTTAAAAACAATTTGTGAAAATAAATTAAGAATATTTTTTATTTGCAACTTATTAGTCTATCTTGGTTCGAAGTTGTGGAAATTTGAAGAATATGTTGTTTAATTCTCAAGAATTGAAAGAAAACCGAAAATCTTTTCGTCATTTAAATGTGTTGAAGGCTATGAAAGTCCAATTACCTATCGCTTTATCTTTAGAAATCAGAATCAGCTACTTTTACAAATTATTAGTGCAGACTTAGATTGTGTCAAATCGACGAATAGAATTTGTGAAAGAAGAATCAAAATTTGAGATAATATCGGAAAACCTAGATTACATTCATTGTAAAATTAAAGATACAATTTGGTAACATTGATAGTAGTGTAGGTTCTCTCAAAATCAGGATACATGAATCTTCATCTTCAATAATCGAGAAAGCCTTTGCTCTTTTTGAAACCACAACCGAAGGTCTATCTATCTGGTGATTACTCTAACGGCAAAAACAACCATCTGAAAGTTATAATTCATTGGTTTTATTTCCAGAATTATGAGATAAAATAGGTCATTATTGGAACCACCACCACAACGAATTCGACATCCTTTAAGCAAAAACACAGTTACCCGTTTTTTTTAAGGACAAAGTTTACAAAACAGGGATCGTTTCCCTCCATTGCGTCACTTCGATGAACAGGATTTGTGGTTCGGTAAAGTCCGCTTAAAATTGTATTACTGGCTTCGTCCTCCAGGATAATATTTAACTAAATCCTTCTATGAACCACAATTCATGAGTTTGTTACCCTTTAATTAGTATTTGGCTTCATATGGAGAAGAATCGAAATCATTTTAATTTTATGCCACTTCATATATTAACGACCGCAAGTTCTTTCAAAATCGGTCATCTCTTCAAATGTTAGTTAAGCCCCTTCACACGAGCACACAAGTAATATGATCTGTCAAAATTTTGTGTAGAAGAGAACGGATGGGATCGTCTAAACGCAATATATAATGAAACCATCACACATTGAGAGGAAATACGGATGAAAAATTTGACAGTCGTATGGCTCTCTTCATTTTTTGAAATGATTCAAAAAACAAGAAAGTTGCATTAGATCAGGGATGTATTTTTATGTAAACATATACAAAAAAGTGAAACAGCTGTTCCATCTTACTTTGTTATTGTTGTATACCAATCGTGTAAACACAAAAAATATAAATCATACGACTTTTATTCTCTTTTTTGTCATACGGATGGAATTTCATTTTACTTTTTCATTAGACTTGTCATACGTAAAGTGTGACCGTGTGAAGGGCCCTTTAATAATTTTAAGGATTTGTATTCCGATATCTTTGACTTTAAGATACAACGATCCCTTAGTCTAAAGACTTTATTTTGCTACGTTGATATTTCATCATGATGTGGACTCTTAAAATGAAAATGGTCGTAAATTGAGATTTTAAAATCAATAATTATCCTGTGGTTTTTATAAACCGATTTGATAGACTTTGGCGTCATTGCTAGTTTTTTTAGACCGGAATTCAGAAGTTCACCTACGTAAAAGACAAACATTTTTAAAGTAATGTCTTTCCGAGTTGGTATTTCGAGTTCTTAAATTAGAATGATAGCAAATCGAAATCTGATGAAACTACTAATCTCGTTAACACTCAAACGTCCTTAGTTTTTAAAGAATTGGGGCTATTTAGAACCAACGTGGATAAAAATGTAGAGAAGTTGAATCAAAACAAAACTTCAAACACTTGCTTTCTATAAAAAAGGTACAAGAAACTATTGATTTTAACAACAATGAGTACCAAATCTTGGACCAGCACTCAGGGGATAACCCCTACTTTTGCGAAGCATTGTGTTGGAACAAGGAAAATAGGTTGTGGGAAGGAGGATAGAGGGAGTAGTATTTGTGGACATTTGATTTAAATCTTCTTATATCTAAAGTGGCAGGGAGTACCTCTGCAGGAAGTTTTTTCCACATACGAACAGTGCGGCTGAAGAATGAATTTACCCTGTAGTGTGTTGTGCGGTCCACTGGCCAATCTACCACAAATGGTTGGGTTCTTGAAGAAAGACGAGTGTTACGCAAGAATATACAGGTATCGGGAACAAGTTGCCTAATTTCAGAGGAACACATTCCATTGTAGTATCGATAGAACAGTGAAATACATTCCACGTTGCGACGGTGATCCAGTGAATCAATAGAGTTGGATACCCTACTGTCATCGATAAGTACCTTCGCTCTCTCCTGAGTGAAGTATGTCTTACACCGTTTCAAAAAACCGAGACACTTGAATGCTTTTTTCGACACTTGAAAAATGTGTTTAGTCCAGCGGACATCGCACTGATCTCTAGAGGGCTTGGTCTATAATTGAATGAATAAGAATGGCAGATACTGCTGTCATCCGCAAAAGAGTCGATAGAGTTTGACATAGCAGGTCATTTATGAAGATAAGAAATACGGTAGGGGAAGAAACGGAGCCTTGCGGTACCCCTGAATTAATCTTGAACTCGTTTGATGAGATCCCATCTATAACAACTCGTATAGTGCGATCTCTGAGAAAGCTCGAAATAAATAGAGAGAAGTTATTACCGAATGTAATTAGTTTTGATACCAGTGCACCATGCCACACTCTATCAAACGCCTTGGAAATATCTAGAGTCAACACTTTACTTTCGCCAAAATGGTGGAATGACTCCATTTCTCCGAAAGAAAGGCTAGTAGGTCTACCGTAGAGCGACCTCTACAAAAGCCATACTGGCGGTCGTTTGGTAAATCATTGGTCTCTAAATACTTGACAAGATGGAAATTGACCATATTTTCCATAACTTTAGAAACAAACATCTATTGAAATATAAATCGCAAAAAGAAGAAATAATAATATATCCTATGAGAACATTACGGATCCCGGAATGAGACAAAATAGTAAGAGTATATATGGAGAAATGAGTATTTCTTATTTCGGAACATTATTGACTCTGAAAAATTAACATTTATTGAAAACATCTAGTGTTTTATTAAACTTAATAAACAATTTTTAATCATCACTTACCAAACGATCTTCGTCCGGACGCAAAACAATTTTGGCACATGCCTTCATATGATACCGTACAAATGGCGAATTAATAGTGGCCATATGCAACAAATAACTAAACAATATGTAAAGTGTTGAAGTAAAAAAGAAAATCACCGTCGATACACGATCGTTTTGTATCAATAGTTTAGTACCGACACGATTGGAAGACACCAGAAATCCGGCCAAACTTTCGCCAGTCATAACAGCCTGTGTATAACGTTTAGGAAACATGCTAGCAAATCCATAAAAACTTGATTGTTGTACTGCAACAGCAAACATAAAAAAATAAGAAACAACAACAAATCAATAAATTGTATATAAATTGCAAATAAATAATTCATTACCTGTACAACCGATAGCCACCAATGATACGGCTGCCAAATTTACTGAATACTCCGTATTGGCAGCAAACATATGCCAGGCAACCTCACACACAGCCACAAAGACAAGTGTTGTAAAGGATACAATATAACCGAACATCACACGCACCCGAAATGGAGCCAACGAAAGGAAAACATTGTTCAATAGTACGGTAGCAAAGGCCACTATTATATACGTCATTGACATGTCCAAAGCCACAGAGCGTCCAGGAAAACGTGACTGCCAATAGTCTGAGGCGATTATAAAACTATAAATAGAATATTGTTGAGTGAGTGTACGATAATAGAAAAAATATTCAAAAAATAAATGTACATAAGTTTGTTAAATGGATTGAGGATATACATGCATCCTTAACATCCTTATCCATACATATGTATATATTTTTATCTAGGAATACACACATACATAATTCTATTCAATTTACAAACACATAAAATTAGGTCATAATATTTGAATGGTTTAACAGCCCTGCAGTTCAGAGAGGCCGAGCCAGTTTTTAAAATTTTCTAGGTGGAAGTCAATTAAAGCCTATTACGGACTACTAATAGATAGACATGTATTAGAATATATTTCTTCATCACATACTAAGAACCAAAATACTTATAGATAAACGTTGAAGAATAATAATGTCTAAAAGGGATTCATTGACGTCTTGTTAAACTGCAGGGCTGTACATACTTACAAACTGCTATTTACATATACACAAATGTGTGTGTTGAACTTTATTATTGCTACAACAACTATCGAGACTCAAAGAGTTCAAACAATATTCAATTAAATTTTTATTCAACTCTAAACAGATTGAAAATAAATTTAATTTAAATGCAAACGATATTACATCGCCCACCCATTCCTTTGGAACTTGAAATATAAATAGGTTCATTTAAATGCACACGTATTGAATTCCCAACCCAATTAATAATTTATGTATTTAATATTTTGGTAATTGAAATCAAGTGTCATAATCGTTTTGGGGAATATGTAATGAATACTAATAACCAAATACATTACCTTAATTAATACACAATAAAAACAAATAAGAAAGTATAGTATGGGTCAAGCCATTCTACACTGATATGATGTTACTTTGGGTCTTCAGTTGGAGCCGTGAACAATAATGGATTGTTGTAATAAGTCTTTGTATGGAAGCAAGGGTCTAATGAGGCCCGATCATTACAAAAATCGGCAGTATTATTAAGATTACTTAAAACCTTGGAATGGATAGTCGATAGTATGGTTAAAAGCAGTATACCTGACAAAGACCTTGAATATAAGCAACATAAGCATGTGAAGGGATGATCGGTGGAAACCGCTTCATACGAAGTTGTTCTCTACATAGTTGAATCCTTAGATAGCAAATTGACGGTATGCATTGACATCGAAAACGCCTTCAGTAACGTGCACACATATACTCTTATCCAATCCCTAGACCAGTTTTATGTTGAACGGGTGCTCCGTAACTGGATCAACTACATGCTAAGGAATAGATGGATAAGCTGCGAGATGCACGAATGTCGAGTGCTTAATGTGAACACCTGCCTTGACGGCCATATTTCACGGTGTTCTTTTTCATCCACTGGGTAGACTTGAGATGGCAACAGCACCGAAAACTTCCCTGAAGTAAAAGGTCTACTAAATCTACTAGTCTCCTTTCGGTCATAGGAGTCTTCCCCGATCGTTCACCAATTACATCATTTCCATTCTCAGACTATATAGAACGATCTACGGGATGACAAGCAACTACCAAGTGTCAACCTGAAAATTCCCTAACCTATACTGGCGCTCTACTACGCGAAGAGTAAGAGATGCTCAACGGGTTCAGGAATCCAGCATAAGTTGTCTGTCACATCACCCAGTGACATCTGTTGAGATGGCAACAGCACCGGAGAGAGAATCCAGACATATTTGGCATTTGGATATATCACTTCTTAAGCCAACATTCTCTCCCCGCGAATTTGAATCTAAACCACAACCACTACGTGGATCCCGAAGGAACATCAACCAACTGACTACTCTGGTTAGACCACATATCAAATTATTCCAAGGAAAGGCCGAGGATACATTTGATCATCACCAGTTTATAGTCCCGGCAGACTAGAGGTATTGGTAGCACCTCTTTTCCCCGGGATATTGCAATAACACCAAGGTGGAGAATTCACCAACGAAAAAGGTATCCCGCTGTATACCACAGGGTGGAATTTTGTCTCCTTTACTCTGGGTTACCACGATTAGTAGCCTCCTAAAGACCCTAACTGAGAAAGGACTTAGACCTATGTACTATGCAGACGATGTGGTAATACTTTTAAAGATAAAGGATTCAAATTACTTGTGTAGAAGAGCTAAGGAAGCTCTGAATACGGCCTTGAGCTGGGGTCAACCGAGAGCCCTCACTGTTAACCCAGCGAAGACGGAAATCTGTCTTTTCACAAGAAAGACAAAAATTTCTACGTACACTGAAACTGCTTCCTGGGCAAGAAGAAACTGGTAACAGACAAAGTTAAGTACTTAGGTGTAATCCTTGACCGGAAATTAAAATGGAGACACTACATAGAGGATGGGATCAAGAAGGCACATCGGTGCTGGGCGATATGTTGGAGAACTATAGGCATAAAATGGGGTCTTAGTCCTATTATGACAAATTGGCGCAATAAAAGTGTAATTAGACCAATTCTAGCTTATGCTTCAATAATCTGGTGGACAGCTTTGGACAAAAAGTGTAATATCAAACTACTACGGCTCTTTACTTTAGGCGAACCGGCCAAAAGCGGTTATAAGATACGCCATCAATGTATGCTGGACACAAGGTTATACACAATACTGGACGTGTTTGATCGCATACCAAACACAGAATATGTCGGAAACTTTGAAACGCTGATCCCAGATAGAATGTCTTGTTCAAGCCGAAAACTAAAGCAAATACCAGTAGGAATACGTTATTACACGGATGTCTCTAAAATGGGGGATAAAGTGAGCCTGGGGTTCTATATTGAACACCCTGAAACAGAAATATACCAACGTTTACCTAAGCATAACACAAGCTTCCAGGCAGAAGTCTGAGCAATAACATTATGTGTAAATTGGATTAGAATAAATATGGCGCCCACAGCCCTTAATATATTTAGCGACAGCCAGAAGGCAATTAGGGCGATATCAGGTGATAGAATTAATGTGCTGTTTCTAGATAACGAGCGAGTAGTTTGAGTAAAAATTTTACTTGTATTTTGTTATTGTAACAAAAACAAAGTACAAGTAAAATTTTAACTCAAACTACTCACACGTTATCTAGAAACAACACATAAATCTAAGACCGCATTGGATTTTATGAAAGTTTTAACTGAGTATTTTCCCAAAGGTAAGGTTTGCATCATATGGGTACTAGGCCACTCGGGAGTAGTCGGTAACGAAAGGGCGAATGTAATAGCTTTAAAAGGTAGGGAGCTCAAGGCAGTTAACCTGAAAAACGCGAAACCATTCGACGCAACAAAAGCTGAACTAAAAATATGGATGAGAGAATCCCATAAGGCCTCTTGGAATAATGAAACAGTGGGTAGAACCACAAAGATCCTATGGGATGACCCTAATGAGAGCAAGACGAGAAATCTCCTCAAAATGAGCACGTCCGAGGTTAGTATGATGGTACACATTCCGAGTGGACACGCAGGATTACGAGCACATCTATACAAAATTGGACGTGCGGATTCAGGCGAATGTAGAGCATGTGGAGTGAACAGTGAAACTCTGTCACTGTCAAGCATTCGTCGAAGTTAGATCCAATCATTTTAGAAGTGATATTATTCCGGAAATAACATTACTGACTAACACTGATTGGAAAATTCTTAGTAATTACGTCCAGGAAACTGAGTTTCTGAAATTTTTTTTAATAAAAAGGAGCGCACAACAGGCCCGATAGTGGCCTAGGTGTATTTCTTCGGATTTAATGTAGTATACATCAAACTATCAACCTAACCATCATTAAGACTTTTATAAAACTAAGTTTTGAGAACTTTTGTTGAAACACTAATATGAGCTCAAAAGTCCTATTCGGTGGGTACGGTTTTTGTGGAGGATAGGCGAAATTATGGACCGATTTCAAGCATAGCGTTCGTCCTTGGTATTTGCCAAATTTCATCAAATTATCTTGAAAATTGCGACCTGTAGTGTGCGCACAAAGTTTACAGGGACACACAGACGGATCGACTCAGAAAGTGATTCTGAGCTGATTTGTATACTTTCAGGTGGCTGTAAAACCAATATTTTTGGGTGTCGCAAACATCAGAACAAACGTAAAATACCCTCCTCACTATAGATGTGTAGGGTATAAAAACAGTGAGTGATGATAACGTCTTTTTTTTTGCAATATTTTCTCATTTCGATTATTTTTGAACTTTTGACATTTTTTTATTGATCTCTTATCTCAAATGTTTGAACAATTCTGAGTAATTGAATGATTTATATACTTACATATTATGTATATTATTACTTTCATAGTAAAGATTATAAATAGATTAAGTACGTATTTAGTAAAATATACATAAAGAGATAATCAGGAATGTATCGCATTGGATTGTGTGCCCATTATAGACCGATAATAATAAACTGTTTCTAAAGTTAACATATAGTGCAAACATGATGCTTTATAGTGCAACAATGTAAATTTCAGTCATATGTCTAATTGTAATCCAAATAAAGCTTTCATAATAGATTATAGAGATCTGTTTGTAGTCTAAACTACACTTTTAGGTTAACTACAGAGTGGGTGCTACAAGCAATGCGAAGCTTTGCGCTACAAACCTTTCCTTGTGTTTTCCTATGTGTCAGGTCAGAGTGAAAGCGAAGCTTGATGCGAGAAAACACAAGCAAAAGTTTGTAGCGCAAAGCTACACTGTCACTCTGACATCAGTCTTAGGCAATAGTGAAGCTATATGAAACTTCTAATACAGAAATAGTTTTAAATGTAGGTCTGCTAGTATGGTCTAAGTTTCGTTTATAAGTTCATTAAGCTTCAATTGTACAAAAGTTTATAGCTTAAAATATAATATAATCATAAGCTTATTTTGTAAATTAAGCTTTAATCATAGATGTGATAAGCTTTTGTCTTGCTTTAATCATAGTGTAAACTAATTTCAAAGGTATAGTGCAAATTAAGCTCCAATAATAAGACAAATAGAATTCAAAGTTTTATAATTTAAGTGATTTAAATTTTAGTGATTTTCAGAAATGGGCCTTATATGAAAGATATTGTAATAATACTTATTAGTATTATCTGAAATCTTTTTAAAATATATACTAAAGTGAAGTGAGATAAATCGCTGAATTGATTCACAAAATGGCAAATTCATTGATGTAGAGTATAAGAGAATATTTATATTAATTTTTTTATTATAAACATACAAAAATTATGACTAAAAACTAAACCACCTTACACATAAATATTAATAATTTTGTTGGCAAAGCAAAACAATAAATAGAAAATGAATATAAAAGAGCAATGTAGATAGAACTGACCTATTCCACATGTTTTTACACTTACCTATTGTAGGGCAAAACAAAACCAATGCCTGCTGCCAACATGGCCAAATAAACCTTATGTTTTTGATCTGTGGGAGCACGTATATCATTCTCGGGACTATCCATGGGTTCGTGACGTATACCGGAACCACGACCTTCTAACGGTTCGTAAGTGGTAGACTGTGTAGATTCCATATTGAATTTATTTGTTGAAAACCAAAACAAACAACTTAAAGGAAGTTGTTTTTTGAAAAAACAACAAAGATTTACTAAATTTAAACGTTTAGATGTCTACTGTGAGGGTTAAGTAATTCTGTTGTTATTGTTGTTTTAGAAAAATGTTTTAAATATTTTGTTGAAATGTCAATGTTAATCGCAGCTTAATCACGTAAGTATCACTTGCACTATACTACTAATACTTTGACAGTTACGTTTTGTTTTGTTGTTTGTTTTCCACTTAAACAGGGATTTCCGCTATTGAAAGGGGGTTATTTTTCTTGCCCAGAGAGTGTTTGGTAAAAAGAGAAAGCTACACACTCACTCTACCTACAAATAAATTAACTCATACATATGTAGCCAAGAGAATTTATATTTTTTATTCAATTTTTCTTAAATTTCTAATAATTTTAAAGTATTTTTTCTTGTTAATTTAAATTTTAAATTTTTTAATGTATTTACGGTTAATTTTTAAGTTGAAAATTTTTATAAATTCCTTTACTATTTTATTATAGATTTTTTTCACACTTGACTAAATGTTTTTCCCGATTCTTTACATTCTTAAGGCGTTTCTCTATACAAAAATATTGATATTTTTTTTCGTTCCGTAAAAAATATGTTCTAGTCGTTTAGTTTTGTTTTGAAATAATTTATTTATTTATTTAATTTGTTATTATTATTGTATTTATTTTAAATAATTTACTACTTTCACTTTAACATCTGTTGTAATTCACTTTTTTTCTTAGAATTTTTGTTTAGAAAAACAAACTAAATAAAATTTTTATACAACTTTTTTGTTCTGTGATGTGTTTTCTTGTGTTTTGCCGTTGTAATATTTTGCGCATGTTTCAAAAAAATTGATTTTCCCTTTTGGGTTTTTTGTCATTTTCTTTCAGAACTCTCTGTTTATTTATTTAGATTGTTTTATTTTCTCTAGCATTTCGTACATCATCTTATCAATCTGTCAAAAGTTGTGTAAAAATTTTAATTACATCAGTGTCGCCAGATGTGGGGATTTGTCTCGAAATTGTTGATTTCATGTTTTATTTGGAGACAAATTTTCGTGGAAGAGATTTTCGAAAAAATTGGGGATTAATTTCTCTAGCATTTCCTGCATCTTATCTATCTGTCGAAAGTTGTGTAAAAATCTGTCAAAAATTTGTTCAGAAAGCAGCAACAACGATATTTGGGAATTTATCTTTATGAAATAATTTCTAAAATTCAGAAATTAAATAAATCCCTACTAGGTGATCATAATCTTTAAAAAAAATAGAAAATGTAGCAAATTCAATTACTTCTGTTCACTGAAATCTCTTTTTATCAAATTGTTTAAACTAAACTAATAACTTATTTGACCTGTCACACTAGTTATTTTATTATTAACATTTATTAAAATAATTATCCAACAACTAATTCAAAAAAAGCGCCATTTTTTAGTCACGCCATCTATTAGAAAATGTATCATTTCAACACATATGCAAACTTGAGCATTTTTTCATTGAAGTAATGCCAAGTCATGTTCATTTTGTTGCTAACTTTGAGCGTTAACATTCAATAATAGCAACAAAACACAGCTATTGTAGTAGAAATTAAATAAAATATATGTGTTTGTGTGTTGAACGTAGGGATGCCAATCGGGACTGGTTTTTAGAAATCCCGGGATTCGGGATTTTTAAATAAATCCCGGAATCCCGATATCGGGATCCCGGGATTTTCGGGATTTCTAAATCCCGAAAAATATAAAAAAAAATTCAAAAAATCTTAATACTTTTACCGACAAAAATAAAATGTTTTATTTCATATTGCAATATGAATACTCTTAGTAGGTGTTTACTTTCCAATAAGCATTTTGTGAAAAGAAAAACAAATTAATTCAAAGTACATACTTAGAATAAAAATCTTTCCATCCCAGGCACTGAATAGTAGAATAAAAACCTGAAATAATACCCATGATATCCAAATTTACAATGGTTTCCAAATAATATTTAAATAGTATGTGTAATGGGGATCCATACGAGGCTACATAGAGCACCTGTACTGCACCTATATCTCCTCCACCTTATATCCCGTGTTCACTAACCAAGGGAATTATCTTCTCGCCATCTTATTGACAGGTTGACTTCCATTATAGATATCCGATAGTATCAATGCCTATTTATTGCCCTTTTTATACCCTTAGTAGGGATGGTATATTGGGTTTCTCCGGAGTAGTGCTTTTGTTTTATACTCTCCTAAAATACGCTGATGAAATTTAAAATGATCGGGCTTTTGATCCGAGCCCCCATACAAAACACAGCTTTAAAAAAGAATTAGTGTCCACAATTCGCTTAAAAAGAGAACTGTCGCAATGAAATTCAGCATAAAACATTTTATGTAACCGTAAATTCGCCCTCCAAATTTTATGAGGATCGACTCATATGATGGCGTCCTTCCCCCATGCATATTTCAGAAAAATAGTTTTTTAACAATAAAGTGCTAGAATATATCGGAGGCGAGGTATACTTTTATTATGAAAACTAAATTACATTTTACTCTCATAACTGGTGTATGGGGTTATATGGTCGGCCTCGCCCGCCTATAATTTCGTACTTGTTATTTTTATATATCCGATAGTATCTATGCCTATTTAGTATAGCAATGAAATTTGATATTCGTAAATCCCTGACGAGCCAAAACCTCTCTACCAAATTTTATGTGGGTCGGTTCATAATTGACCCTACCCCCATATAAGGTCCCGTTAAAAAAATGACTTTAACGCTCATTACCGGCTTAAAAATACGAGTATAGCGATGAAATTCGATACACATATGTTTCATGCGAGTCAAAATCTCTCTACCAAGTTTTATGTGTTTCGGTCCATAATTGACCCTACCCCTACATAAGGTCCCATCCAGATAAATACTTTAACGCTCATTACTGGCTTACAAGTACGAGTGTAGAGATGAAATTTGAGATAAGTAAGTTTCTTACTCGCCAAAAGCTAAGAAACTTTTATAGGAACGTAAATCTTCCTACCGGAAAGTGTATGAACCAAAATTGGTCTAAAAAAATTATGAAAAATTTTATAAAAACGGTCAATGATTCACCCTACCTCTCATATAAGGTCCTACCAGTAAATTTGATGAGTAATATCACCCTGATGTTTATAGAAAAGCATATTCGGCATAGCCGAATCTTACTTTTTTTTTGATATTTCAGCTTGTAAGTTAGTAGAGTCATCTTAAGTCCAAAAACTTTTTAAATTCTCTTATTTAGTACTTTATAATGTATAAAATAGCGGAAAAATACTTAAAAATTCGGGATTTTAAAATCCCGAAATTTCCCGGGATTTCATTTTTTAAAATCCCGGTTTTCGGTACTTTCAAATCCCGAAAATCCCGGGATTTTCGGGAATCGGGAATTCCCGTTTGGCATCCCTAGTTGAACGTAGCAAATAAGCAAAATATTGTCATAATAAAGTGCTGCCAAGTTCTTATTTATAACAGATAATGCAGTGCCGTCATATGTTATCTTACATAAAGTCAGCTGTTTGTTTTTAGTACACACACATTTATCAATTTTCACAACAAATTACGTAGATTTAGGAAAAATCTAACGAAATTATAACAAAATGGTAAGTAAATCTAAAGAAAAATAATAAACTAAATAAAATAATTATTCTTCCATACCCATAGGCCTCCTCCATGATATTGGCTGGCTTAGGTGTAGCCGCTGTCGGTTTTGCTGGCAAACACTTGATGCGCCGCATGCCTGCTATGACCACCAAAATAAATGAGACTTTAAAAAACTTACCCAAATTTGATGCAGAATCTCTGGCTGCTTCCAAATACTATAAGGGTGGTTTTGATCCAAAAATGAACAAACGTGAGGCCTCTTTAATATTGGGCATTAGTCCAGGAGCTTCAAAATCCAAGGTAAACTATTCAAAATTGTTTTTTTTAGTCATAATTAATAATTTGTTACTTACAAAGGTCAAGGATGCCCACAAAAAGATTATGTTATTGAATCATCCCGATCGTGGTGGTTCTCCTTATTTGGCGGCCAAGATTAATGAAGCTAAAGATTTTATGGACAATGTCAAATAAATTGTTTGTTTTATGCAGCTTGGGAAGTTTTCATTTCTTATAATTTGTTAACTATGTTAAATGGAGTACCTCTTGTTAATATTAAGCTTTAGTTTATACAAAATTAGTAAACAAGTAGTAATTAATAAACAATTTGTAAAGTAATAATTTGCATCGGACAATTTTGAAATAACAATTTGATATTTAAGAAGAGTGTTTGTTATATTTGACTGTGTCGAATCTTCCATCATCAAATCATCAGGCCTGTCACAGAATTCCACTCCGATCGAAAGGGAAATTATTACTTGAAAATAAATCTATAAAAACTTAAAAAATAATAACTTTAAACTATTTTGTCAATTCCACGTTGAAATTTTGAAGTGGCTTCATTCCAAAAAAGTTGTCATCTTTTACGAAGAAGAAAATTAAGAAAAATAATTCCACTTTCGATTGGAATGTAATACTATGACAGACCGCCATATAATATAAATTTGGGAATTTTGGAAGTCAGCCCTATATGTATATATATGTATAAAAATACTTTTGCTGTTTACCACCAGGATTTACGCACTCATTATTATTAATATTGAAATCACGATGATTTTGCGAATAGTGCTTCTCGGTTTAGTGAACCGATCTCTACTGAATTTAAAAGAGTTATGAACTTCTTAATACTTAATACTTTCTGAAAGCAACGTTTTAAGGAGGAGCTAGACGAAATCGTGAACTGCATGATCTCTACCGGTATTTCAAGCCATATAAAAGCGTTAAAGTTACTTTCTGAAAGCAACGTTTTAAGGAGGAGCTAGACGAAATCGTGAACTGATTTGGCCATTCTCAATTACAAACTTCATCTATACAAAAAAATGTTCAAAATTTGCCCCCTAGCTCCTTCCTTCATACTTTTGTGGGTAAAAAATTGTAATAAAAATCGGACTAACGGAAAATGGAGGAAACCATTTATAGATTTACATATTTCCCAAGTTTTAAAAGATTTAAAACTTTAAAAAGATAAATAACTTATTGTGCAAAAATATTTAACATTGTAGTTTTTGCTGTGCTGCCGTATAAACAATTCATATATTCTGGCAGCACTAGGGGTAAAACAGTGTTCATTGGTAAAACAGTTTCCTCTGTATTTACCTTTAATAACAATTGGCATCACTGGGTTACCCCTTTTACACGTCACTGTTTTTTCAACTTTTCACTTGAACATGGCTTGCCAGATTTGGGAATTTGTCAACAAATTTGTGAATATTAGCCTATTTCATGGGACACAATATTGTTATTGTAAAAACAAGAGATTTTCTTGAATAATAAGTACAATCTGTCAGGGTTTATTTCAAAATTATATTCTACGACAACTAATATCAAATTCAAAATTAAATTTTTATAAAAACATATCAACCTATAAGAACTTCTTCATTTGGGTATATTTTAATTTTATTTGGATACATATGCTGCCACACATCTGGCATCACCGATTGGCAGCTACAAAAGCAACAAGTTCTCAACAAGTATTGTTTATATCTATTTTTGTTACCTCACGCACTGGTTGATATAAATAATTTCTTTAAGTTTTCCTCCTTAATTATATTATTTTGTAAATAATCAGTAAGTTATTAATATTATTAAATAAAGTATTTGTTAATAAAAACGATTTCAAATAATCAACATATTCCAGCATCAACAAAATGCGCCAATTGAAGGGAAAAGTTAAGGAAACACGCAAACAGCGTAAAGAACGTAAATTGGAAAACATGGAAATACACAATCAAATGAAAACTGTGGTCTTACCCATTTTGGGTGTTTTGGTCTTTGTTATTGTGGCATTTGTCTATGTTAAAACCCGGCCTTCTGTAATGGCCTAAACGAAAAGAAACTTCCCTCCTTAGTTGGACAGTGGCGCAATAGTTCAATGAACTCTTTATATGGATATAAAATGAAATATTTATTATTGTTATTAGATGACAACAGTGTTTAAGAAATTGTTTAAGTAGTAACTTTATATTTCTATAATATATTTATTAAGTGTATTTTAGCAATTTTTAAATTTATAAAATTTTTTAATTGTTTATTTTTTATATTAAAAAAAACATATTTTTATTTAATTTAAAATAAATTTATTAGTAAATATTTGTTAAGAAAAAACATGTTTTTTATTCTAAACATTTCGTTTTCGCTGTATGCCTCGTTGGCAGATTAGATTAAATATTTTCTAGAATGATGTATTTGCACAACTGTTTTCTATTTTGTTTGAGAATTAATTAAAAAGAGTTTATAGAAATTTCATTAGAATAGTTTTACAGACATTCATAATTATGCAAATTTTTGAACTATAACTAAAGCAGAGTAGGAATAAAAGAAATTAATGAATTAATTAACTAGTTTATTAACCCTTTGCAAAATCAATGATATAATTTTATTTATTGTTTAAATAAATCAGTAATCAACTTCATTTATTAAAGAAATAAGTTTAAAATAGATTTTTATTTGCAAATTTAGGTTTATCTTTAGGTGTTTTTTTTATAAAATAAAAGTTTGGAAATGATTTTAGTTTAGAAGGTTTTAATGAAAACAAAACATTTTTATTAAAATACATTTCTTTTATCAATAGTTTGTTCCCTAGGAAAGCTTTAGAGAACATATATATTAATTTGAATTATTTAATTTTTTTTATGTTTCGAAGATGTTAACAATTATTTTGTATGTAGTATGAGTTAAATTAAACTTGTGTACCACTAATGTATAACTAGTGCCAAATAACTGGTTCCCTGAAAAATCCTTTAAATAGAAAAGCGACAACTTTTTCGGACTAAAAACACTTCAAGATTTCAAAGTTAAATGGAAATTTGTTTAAAATTATTGTTTTTAAGATATAATCAATTTGTTATTAAGTAATGCATTTCACTATCGACCGGAATGGAATTCTATGACGGGCCGTTTTTACATTTTATTACTGTAAACAAAGTTTCCAACAAAATGATGTATTAAATATTACTGCCTTAACCAAAAATGATTATAAAGTTCTGTTCTAGTTCTAGTTCTGTTCTAGTTCTGTTCTAGTTCTGTTCTAGTTCTGTTCTAGTTCTGTTCTAGTTCTGTTCTAGTTCTGTTCTAGTTCTGTTCTAGTTCTGTTCTAGTTCTATTCTAGTTCTGTTCTAGTTCTGTTCTAGTTCTGTTCTAGTTCAGTTCTAGTTCTAGTTCTGTTCTAGTTCTGTTCTAGTTCTGTTCTAGTTCTGTTCTAGTTCTGTTCTAGTTCTGTTCTAGTTCTGTTCTGTTCTAGTTCTGTTCTAGTTCTGTTTCTCGTTCTAGTTCTGTTCTAGTTCTGTTCTAGTTCTGTTCCTAGTTCCTGTCCATGTTCTTCAGTTCTGTTCTAGTTCTGTTCTAAGTTCTGTTCTCGTTCTGTTCTCTATTCTGTTCCGTTCTGTTCCAGTTCTGTTCGAAGTCTGTACCTAGTTCTGTTCTACGATATGTTCTAGTACTTGTTCTAGTTGCGGTTCTAGTTCTGGTACCTAGTTCTGTTCAAGATCTGTTGGCTAGTACTGTTCTAGTTCCTTTCTAGTTTCTGTTCTAGTTCTTCGTTCTGTTGCAGTTCAGTTCTAGTTCATTTCTAGTTCTGTTCTAGTTCTAGTAGTTCTGTTCTAGTTCTCGTTCTAGTTCCTGTTTCTAGTTCATTCTAGTCATGTTCTAGTTCATGTCTAGTTCTGCTTTCTAGTTCTGTTCTAGTTCCTGTTCTAGTTCTGCTTCTAGTTCATTGGCCTCAGTTCTGTATCTAGTTTTCTAGTCTGTTCTAGTTCTGCTCTAGTCTGGTTCTAGTTCTGTTCTAGTTCTGTTCTAGTTCTGTTCTAGTTCTGTTCTAGTTCTGTTCTAGTTCTGTTCTAGTTCTGTTCTAGTTCTGTTCTAGTTCTGTTCTAGTTCTGTTCTAGTTCTGTTCTAGTTCTGTTCTAGTTCTGTTCTAGTTCTGTTCTAGTTCTGTTCTAGTTCTGTTCTAGTTCTGTTCTAGTTCTGTTCTAGTTCTGTTCTAGTTCTGTTCTAGTTCTGTTCTAGTTCTGTTCTAGTTCTGTTCTAGTTCTGTTCTAGTTCTGTTCTAGTTCTGTTCTAGTTCTGTTCTAGTTCTGTTCTAGTTCTGTTCTAGTTCTGTTCTAGTTCTAGTTCTAGTTCTGTTCTAGTTCTAGTTCTAGTTCTAGTTCTGTTCTAGTTCTAGTTCTGTTCTAGTTCTGTTCTAGTTCTGTTCTAGTTCTGTTCTAGTTCTGTTCTAGTTCTGTTCTAGTTCTGTTCTAGTTCTGTTCTAGTTCTGTTCTAGTTCTGTTCTAGTTCTGTTCTAGTTCTGTTCTAGTCCTAGTTCTGTTCTAGTCCTAGTTCTGTTCTAGTCCTAGTTCTGTTCTATTTCTGTTCTAGTTCTGTTCTAGTTTTGTTCTAGTTCTGTTCTAGTTCTGTTCTAGTTCTGTTCTACTTATGTTCTAGTTTTGTTCTAGTTCTGTTCTAGTTCTGTACCAGTTCTGTTCAAGATCTGTTCTAGTACTGTTCTAGTTCCGTTCTAGTTCTGTTCTAGTTCTGTTCAAGTTCTGTTGCAGTTCTGTTCTAGTTATTTTCTAGTTCTGTTCCGTTCTAGTTCTGTCCTGTTCTAGTTCAGTTCTAGTTCTAGTTCTGTTCTAGTTCTCTTCTAGTTCTCTTCTAGTTCTCTTCTAGTTCTGTTCTAGTTCAGTTCTAGTTCAGTTCTAGTTCAGTTCTAGTTCAGTTCTAGTTCAGTTCTAGTTCTGTTCTAGTTCTGTTCTAGTTCTGTTCTAGTTCTGTTCTAGTTCTGTTCTAGTTCTGTTCTAGTTCTGCTCTAGTTCTGCTCTAGTTCTGCTCTAGTTCTGCTCTAGTTCTGCTCTAGTTCTGTTCTAGTTCTGTTCTAGTTCTGTTCTAGTTCTGTTCTAGTTCTGTTTTAGTTCTGTTCTAGTTCTGTTCTAGTTCTGTTCTAGTTCTGTTCTAGTTCTGTTCTAGTTCTGTTCTAGTTCTGTTCTAGTTCTGTTCTAGTTCTGTTCTAGTTCTGTTCTAGTTCTGTTCTAGTTCTGTTCTAGTTCTAGTTCTAGTTCTAGTTCTGTTCTAGTTCTGTTCTAGTTCTGTTCTAGTTCTAGTTCTGTTCTAGTTCTGTTCTAGTTCTGTTCTAGTTCTGTTCTAGTTCTGTTCTAGTTCTGTTCTAGTCCTAGTTCTGTTCTAGTTCTGTTCTAGTTCTGTTCTAGTTCTAGTTCTGTTCTAGTTCTGTTCTAGTTCTAGTTCTGTTCTAGTTCTGTACTGGTTCTGTTCAAGATCTGTTCTAGTTCTGGTCTAGTACTGTTCTAGTTCTGTTCTAGTTCTGTTCAAGTTCTGTTGCAGTTTTGTTCTAATTATTTTCTAGTTCTGTTCTAGTTCTGTTCCGTTCTGTTCTGTTCTAGTTCTTTTCTATTTCTGTTCTAGTTCTGTTCTAGTTCTGTTCTAGTTCTCTTCTAGTTCTGTTCTAGTTGAGTTCTAGTTCAGTTCTAGTTCTGTTCTAGTTCTGTTCTAGTTCTGTTCTAGTTCTGTTCTAGTTCTGTTCTAGTTCTGTTCTAGTTCTGTTCTAGTTCTGTTCTAGTTCTGTTCTAGTTCTGTTCTAGTTCTGTTCTAGTTCTGTTCTAGTTCTGTTCTAGTTCTGTTCTAGTTCTGTTCTAGTTCTGTTCTAGTTCTGTTCTAGTTCTGTACTGGTTCTGTTCTAATTCTGTTCTAGTTCTGTTCTAGTTCAGTTCTGTTTTAGTTATGTTCTAGTTCAGTTCTAGTTCTGTTTTAGTTCTGTTTTAGTTATATTCTAGTTCTGTTCTGTTCTAGTTCTGTTCTAATTCTGTTCTAGATCTGTTCTAGATCTGTTCTAGATCTGTTCTAGTTCAGTTCTAGTTCTGTTTTAGTTATGTTCTAGTTCTGTTCTAGTTCTGTTCTAATTTTGTTCTAGATCTGTTCTAGATCTGTTCTAGTTCTGTTCTAGTTCAGTTCAGTTAATGGCTATTAAAAGCTGGCAAATTAAAAGTTCTTTAACAGTTTTTATCTAAGCGGTTAGAGGTAGATGAATCACTTATTATTTTGACATTGACTTGACATTGAAGATCAATATTTACACTAAAATAATATTGAGCAAATATTTATGTTAAATGGATGTCTATAACTATACATTGCAGCTGAAAAAACATTAATTTTTCGCTAAATTGATTTTTAAACATAATATATTTCTAAGTATGAGCTCACAAATGTCTTCAAAATTAGTGAATTGTTTAAAATAAGACTTTCTTTTCTTGCATAGGTTAATATTGTGCTTCCCTATGTATTTAAATCCCCAGATGCGTTTTGTCTTCCCATACAGGTTTGCTTTCTACTTTCTGGGACTTTCTAAAACTAACTAATTAAAACTCTTTAAACTTTGTCATTAAATAATATTCGGTTTTTATTAAATAATTTTTGTTTATAATCACATACTTCATACAACATCATTATTATTATATTAATTATTTGTTTTTTTTTTTATTTATATGTAGGGTATATAAAATTATAAATGATTAGTTTTTTTTGTTTTAATAAAAGTATAGTATGTACTTAAATATATAATAAAAGTAGATATTAATTTAAATTAAAATAATACAAAGTATTAAAGTGGAAGAAACAAATAAATTACAAACACATACAGCAATAATTAAATTTAAAAATCAGTCAAAACATAAAAAAAATATTAAGTTTTATTTTTAAATAATAAGTAGTTAAAGGGGTTTTTCTTTTTTTGAAAAATTAAAAATATTTTAAATAAAAATTGGAAGAATAATGGACTTTTTTTTTAAATTGTTTACTTAAATTAACGGCTGTTACTTATAGGTTATGTTCTTCACAAAACATATTAATATGTTATAAATAATTTACAAAATTTGTTTTTGTTTAAATTGAATTTTAAAGTATACTTTTAGGCTGTTGTTCGAAAACATTTTATTTAGAAATATTTTGTGTAATTTATTAGATTTTGTTTGTTTTGCGGGAGGTTTTTTTTAGATTAAATTGCACATTTATGTTTTTTTTTTGTTTGTTTTAAAAATGTTGTTCTTTTTGTAAAACTAAAGCTTTGAAATTTTTTAATTAAAATTTTGAAGAAAGAAAGTATTTTTTTATTTTTAATTGAGTTAATTATGATTGTCATTGAAAAAAGTATTGGCAGTTATTGACTTTAATAATTTTGCCAAAAAAAGTTTTATAAAATTTTAGAGATTTTCAAAATTTATTGATTTTTAATCTTAAAAGTTATTTTCTTTTCAGAAATTTCGTCATAATTCAGAGGACCGATGAATACATTAGGTTGCAAACCTAAAATGGTTATCTGGTTGATATGTTTTCAAAAATATTAGAATGCATATTGAAAACTAAAATTCTATTGGCAAATTTTCATAACATGATTCTAAATCAAACTCTTTTGAGTAAAACTCATTTAAAAGAACATATTCGAAGTTGTTAGGCTGGTATATATTCGAATCTAGTTCAAAACTCACATATTTTCTTAAAAATTCGAAATTTCTTTTAAAAAATATATGGCAATTAATAATAACTGAAGAAATATTTTGAAATTTTACTAAAAATCGTATAAAATAACAAATATTGTGGCAAAATATTTTCTGTTTGTTTCGATTTTAATTGCAGTTGGAAATGCTTTTACAATTTATTTAATATTAATATTATTTGAAAGTTGTTTTTTTATTATCACATACATTCTATTAAAAATTACATTCATACAATTACTAAACATCATTCACACTCAAAATCACACAGTTAAAAGTTTGACAGTTCAGGTTTTAAAGAGTTTACAAAAGGTTTGATTTTCAATATTACAATAGAACCCCGTCAAGGTTTGCAAATTTTTATCTAAATAGATTAGATTTTGAAATTTGATTTGTAATTTTTGAAAATTTGCAACTTTATTAGATTAAAGCTAGGATGTTCCTTTTGTAATTGTTCTGATTACTTTTGTATTTCCTAAACTCTCTTAAAACTGAACTGTTAATCCTTTAAATATTCAAAATTTTCCTTTTTTCATTAAATTATCATTCTCATTTACAATTAAAATGTGTGTTTCTTTTTTTTTTTGTTATAAACTAACAATATATAAATATGTACGTATTATTATTACTTTTAGACATTATACGAAATTTAAACTTAATGTTTTTTCCATTTATTATTAAAAAATTAAAGACTTACAAACTATATGAGGGGGGGCGTATAAAAAAAAATTATGGGTTTTCAAAAGGGTTTCACTTTTTAAAACATTATTATTGGGTTTACGTATATAGATTGTTTAGTGTGTTTTAGTTTTTCTTAAAAAACCTATAAAATTTGTTCTGTTTAATAAGAAATTTTAAAAAATTTTGCAAAAAAGAAACAATTTTAAACCTTAGTAAAGAAATAGATAAATCTATTTAGGCTAAAATTTGCATTTTTTTTTTAGAAAATAATATAGTACATGTTAAGTTAGTTTCAAATACTTTAAAAAGTAAAAAAAAAACTAAACTTTAACAAAAGTCTTGTATAGAGATTTTTACATTAAGACTTTTAGTATTCTTTCTTTAATAACTAAATGCTACTAAATTTCCTTTTTTTCTAATTTCGAAAAAAAACAAAAATTTCGAGTTAAAAATTTTTGTAAAGTTTTACAAATTCTGTAGATTATTTAAAATTTCCTTTCTTCTTTTTTAGTTTTTTTCTCTTTTAAAGTTAAATAAAAAAAAATTTCTTTATAAAAAAATATAAAAACAAAATAAAAACCTAAATAACAAATCACAGCATATCGACAATAATGCCACCAAACCAGGCCATATACAATGGCATTAAATACATAAATAAAGCACGACGTAATGACATTTTCTCTGCACCCACCGCCGACGACCCACTTGACTTGAGATCTCCTTCATCGTCATCATCAATACTATGATCATGATGTTCACTATCGTCTTCTTCCAGGACATTAGTTTCGTGTGGACTATGGGGTCGTGAGGTGTGTGTCTGTATGCCGCTACCACCCAAGCCAACGTTACCGCCCAAATTCGTGCGTTCCTCGACAATTTCTTCGTCTTCATCGTCGACATTGTTAACGTTGACGGAGGGACGATCGGTATGATCAGGTTTGTGACTAGGTGTAAAGGGACTACCCAAACCGGAACCTTCATCGTCATCTTCGTCATCAACACCGCCACCCGAACCGGAACCGCTGCCGTAGTAAGGTTCTTCTGAAATTTGAGATATATAAGAAGTTGTAATTAGTTTTGGTCATACACAAAAAGACAATTTAATTTAATCTAATCCGAATCGATTATATTACACTATTTCCTAGAGTTCAGCCTATAGTCTGGGGTAAAGTCTTGTAATTCGGTTGAATTATGATGTAATGTTTAGTCCTTATTCCTAACAATAATCTAGTCTATAGTTTGAACTATAGCTTAGCCAATTGTCCGGTCTATAGCAAAGTTTATAGTCTGGACTATTGTCTAGTCTATAGTCTGGATTATAGTTTAGTCTATAGTCTGGACTATAGTCTAGTCTATATTTTGAACTATAGTCTAGTCTATAGTATTGACTATAGTCTAGTCAAAAGTCTTTACTATTGTCTAGTCTATAGTGTGGATTATAATTTAGTCTATAGTCTGGATTATAGTATAGTCTATAGTTTTGACTATAGTCTGGACTATAGTTTATTCTATAGTCTGGACTATAGTTCATTCTATAGTCTGGACTACAGTCTAGTCTATAGTCTCGACTATAGTCTAGTCTATAGTCTGGACTATAGCCTATAGTCTAGTTTACAGTCTGGACTATAGCCTATAGTCTGTACTATAGTCTAGTTTATAGTTTGGACTATAGTCTAGTCTGTACTAAAGTCTACAGTCAGGACTATAGTCTATATAGTTTGCACTATAGTCTAGTCTACAGTCTGTACTATAGTCTAGTCTATATTCTGTACTACAGTCTAGTCTATAGTCTGTACTATATTCTAGTCTATAGTCTGTATTATAGTCTAGTCTATAGTTTGTACTATAGCCTAGTCTATAGTCTGGACTATAGTCTATAGTATGGACTATAGTTTAGTGTATATTGTGGACTATAGTCTGTACTATAGTCTAGTCTACAGTTTGCACTATAGTCTAAAGTCTGGACTATAGTCTATTCTATAGTTTGGACTATAGTCTGTACTATGATCTAGTCTATAGTCTGTACTATAGCCTAGTCTATAGTCTGGACTATAGTCTAGTCTATAGTATGGACTATAGTTTACTTTATAATGTGGACTATAGTCTGTACTATAGTCTAGTCTATAGTTTGCACTATAGTCTAGTCTAAAGTCTGGACTATAGTCTATTCCATAGTTTGGACTATAGTCTATTCTATAGTCTGTACTATAGTTTAGTCTAAAGTCTGGACTATAGTATAGTCTATAGTCTGTACTATAGTCTAGTCTATAGTCTGTATAATAGTCTAGTCTATAGTCTGGACTATAGTCTAGTTTGGACTATATTCGAATCCAGAGCCTAGACAACAGTCAATAGTCTGGAATGTAGTGAAGTCGGTAGTTTTGTATGTAGTCTAGTCTACATATAGTCTGGACTAAAGTCTAGGCTATAGGCTGAACCAAAGTCTAGTCCTTATCTTTGGAGTAAAGTATAGTCTAGTCAATAGTCTGGGCTAAAGTCTAGTCTATAGGTTGGTATTGTCTATAGTCTAATCTTTACTATAGTCAAGTCTATAGTCTAGTCTGGACTATATAGTCAATACTATACTCTGAACTGTAGACAAATTTCCAAAGAAACAAATCTTCGAAATTCTGTCTATAAAATATCACACCCACCTTGTTCACTCCAGTCCACATCCTGACCATTGTAGGCGTTACGCAAATGGCTAATGGCATTTTTCAAATAATGAATTTGTGTAGCCACCTGGCTAGTTTGTTTGGTTGTAGCGGGATTACCAGGAAATTCGGGATTTGAACCATGTTCAGTGGTCACCGAATGCATGTATCTAAAAATATATATATTACAGATATTAAATATAAATCCCTATAATAACAAAATCCATCTAACTTACCTATCAATAGTATGACCATTCCAGCACATACCATCAGCATCGGTGGAACTGGATATATCATCATTATTGCATATTTGATGTGGCAAATTTGACCAGAATTTCTTATAGTCCTTAACTCGTTGCTTAATATCTTTGACTAATTTATCTAAAGCCGGATCGCGTCCATTATATTCATTCTCATCATTTTTACGATTCTGTTGTTTACGTTTGTTATTGCGTCTGTTATTGTTGTTGCCACCACCGGTTCCGCCATTGTTATTACCACCTTCACTGCTATCACGATTACCGGGATCGGCAGCTCTACGTTCACGCAATACGATGGCATCATCTAAAGCAGCATCAATATCAAGAATATCAGTTTCGAGCTGTTCAATATCTAAGAAATCGGATGAAGCTGAACGTTTTTTCAACGACTTAGTTTCCTGATTGTGCTGGGGAGTTGCTACGAATTTGGGATTAACATTACGTTTTGCACGACCTAAAGTGGGACGTCCACAGCCCTGGAAGACACGGGTGGTAATGTCGTGGCCCGAATCCTGAAAGAAAGAAAATATTGGAAGAAATGTTAAATAAATGTTAAATTATTTCTAAAGACTTGTGCAAGATCATTTCCCCTTAAGCTTGACTCTTTTTGCCTATTAAAATTAAACTTTACCCCCTTAATTTAACTCCTAACTTAATCACCATATGTAATCACTTCTCTCATCAATGATTTTAACTAATAATGAAGAATAAAAGGAAATGATTTGTTGGGGTTTTTAGTTTTTTCCATTAATAACTGTAAAATTCAACCACATTTTCACCTATTTTTCTATATCTAACACCTATGTATATGCTTTTTTGTTTATGTTTTGTAAAACAGCCACGTCTAAGTTTTAAATTACACTTGATATCTAATCAGTTGATTAGACGTAATAGACAACCGCAAAAAATAAATATATAAAAATATATTGATAAATATCAATAAATTTTTAATAAAACTAGTGAAGACAATTGTTCATACTTTAAGCATATTCCATTCATTGATTCATTCATAGTTAGAAGTATCGAAAAAGTAAGTTGTTGTTAGGGGGTTTAAAAAATGTATGGACTGAACAATAATATATATTTTGAAACACAATTTAAGATAAATTAAAAGATTTGGCCCTGTATTCTATAGATTCCAGACTGTCCAGTACAGGCACTTATCTATATATGTATATAAAAGAGTAGCGTTACTGACTGACTGATTCATCAATGCACAGCCCAAACGGCTGAACCTAGAATCATGAAATTTTGACAGTAGATGTGTTTTTGGTTATGTAGATCCACTAAGGAGGGTTTTTTGGAAATTTGTACATTTACGGGTAAAAAGGGGAAAAACGGGTAAAACAGGTTTTCTTAATTATCTTACACAATATTAGTGATACAAGAAAATGCATCTGTATCTACTCTTAAAATGAGCAGATGGGTGTCTGGTACTTTTTTGAAATTCGTACTTTTAAGGGGTAAAAATGTGTAACAAAGGTGATTTTGGTACCTTTTTTTGGCCCCTTATAACTTTTGAACTATTTAACATAATAAAATTTTTATAAATATTTGGGACACATCTCCCAAAATTATGAGACACCTGTTTCGTACTTTTTTAAAATTCAGTCCTTTTTGGGTGTAAAAGGGAGAAAACTGTATTTATGGTACTTTTTTTAAGCACATTAAGAAAACTTTTTCGGTTTATTGAATTATTCCTATTAAATTACGGACTAACTCTGTAATATTTATTGTAATAAAATTTTTGCTATTTCACTGGGGAAAAAAGTACCAAAAAGGGAAAAAATGGGAAATTTTATTGTATTCAAATTCATTGAGACAATTTTTATAAAATTTGAAAAAGTAGTTTATTTACTCACACAAAATAAGCTGTTGGTATATTATTTTGGAATTCGAGTACTAAGTCCTCTATAGGACCAAATTCGAGTAAATTGTTTGGTACTTTTTGAAAGCACTATTTTTCTGGAACAAATGAATGCAGATTTGAATCGTTTGAGTTGTATCTGTGATATATAGATTTAAATATGGAACATTTTGTAAACTTAATTCTCGAAAAAGTATATTTCTAAGCGAAAAGGGGAAAATTGTATTCTTTATTAGTACTTTCCACTTAGGTAAATTTTTTCCACTTTGGTACTTTTTCTTTCTTCAAATGATACTCTTTGTATGTTCTTTTATATGAATTCAAAACACATGATTATTAAACATACACGGTTCTCATTGAATAAGATTCTTTAAGAGAGAACTTTTTAGTACTTTTTCATCTCATAAATGGTACTTTTTTAATTTTTGATATTTTTATGATATTGAACATAGATATTGAAAATAAAATTATATTTTTTGAATTGTATATAATATTGAACACAGAAACATAAAATTTTTGATTAAATGATAATCTATTAGAGGTATTTTATAGCACTTTTTTCAAATAGTACTTTCGAAATTTGCTCTAATGTGGAACCTAAATGAATGAAACTAAAAATACAAGCTTCTTACTGAATGCGAATTTGATCACGTGATATTGAACGTATAAAACTGAAACATTAAAAAAATGTTTAATCAATTTTAATTTTCTATAAAAGTAAACAAAATTTTGTATGTATTTAATTTAAGTTAGGGTAGCGAAGCACCCAGGGTATGCTAGTACAAAATAAGCGTTACTGTTCTAGTTTTACCTTTAAGCGCACTGCATTATCTACACTTCTAATTCTTTAGTGCAGAAACTTTAATTCCAAATATGTCAGTTCCAATAAAGAACATTTTTCCTTCTCTAGAATCAAGATCCTTTAATGCAGAAATCTGGCTTCTATGTATAATGGAAGTAAAGGGCAACTATTGCTTTATATGTTTCACTGCAGGTAATGGAGCCAGGGATTTAACTGTGTTTTTGGGTTGTAGTTCAAACACAAAGACCTTCTTATTCTCGAACATCTAGATTTACATCGCAGAAAGACTATAAATTCTTGTGAATCCAGATTCAAAACATTAACTTGTTCCTAGTCTTATAGAAATTCTGATTCTTAAAATCATGGAGCTGGCAGGGATGGGTTGTAAGTATGTAGTTTCAACAATAAAAGCTACTCACTGTACAAAATCCGGATTCATGCTTTTAAATCTCGAGTATATAGATTCTCCGGCTCAGAAATCGGATTCAAATTTTCTAGGATTTATCCCAGAACCATCAGTTTTGTTTTATTCAGAATTTCAGAATTTCGATGAAATATCAAGAATATATGTATATAAAAACCTGGTTCGAGCAAAGTCGTACAGTAAACTACCAGTCCATAAATTTCTTCCTACCCCCAATACCTAGTATGCTAAAGTTGGCTAGACATTCATATTATATTGAGTACAAACATAGTGCAAATAGCAACAACAAAAACAACACCAAACGTCATCGTGTTAGTATCAATTACAGGAAATTAGATAAATTACAAATTTATCTATGATAACCAAACAAAACAGAAAGAAGAACTTTAAAAAAAAAAACTTAACACATAATGTAAAACTATTACGAGTGTACCACTCCATGATGGGTGTCTGCTGTAGTAATTCGATGAATGAATAAATAAATAAAGGTGTTGTTATTTTAACCCTTACGGGTATATCTATAGAATTTAAAAAATAAAATATATACACACAGGCAAACACTGCTTGATGTTGGTGTTTAGTAAATGAGATTTTAGATAAAAATAGTGAATTGTAGGTGGGCAAACAGTGGGTTTGGCAAAGTGAGAAATAATTTAAAGTAAAGTTGGTGTAATAGTGGATAAATCTTAAAGAAATTAATAAAATTACGAATAACATGAAAAGCTTCAAATATCTATAGGACTTGGTTCTCTACTGATTAGCTGAATAATTAGATCTTATTCATATTAGTATAACTCTTGCTACTTCTACACACACACACACACTGTTTCTTACTTGCTTCTGAGTTCTAATCAATAAATCAATCGTTAAATTAGAAATTTTAAAAATAACTCTACGGGATTTATATAAATATAACTAAACAGATAACCATAACAATTGAAAAAAATTAGAATTTCTGTTATGTTCGAGTTTAGGTAAATATTGTACACGAATATAAAACACATGTTGCACACTGAGTTTGTTTATTTTACAAGATTTTTCAAGTATTTTCTGAAAATATTGTTGGCCGCAGATTTTTTTGTCTATGTATAGTTTTTTGGTGGAAACATTATCTATGAATTTCAAGATAAACAATTATTTGAAAATTACAAATATATGTATATATATATATGTATGTATAAACAAACAGGTAAATAATGGGAAGATCACAAAAAGATAAATAAATTTTCTAAAGATTTGAAATAAATTGAAAAGGTTATAAGATTTCCAATTTATATCATGGTGCTCCCAGATTATCAGGAAGTTTGGTCAAGTTAAGTTTATCATCTAGACTTTTTAGAGATCACCTAATATACTATACTATATATGTATATATATATATATATATATATATATATATATATATATATATATATATATATATATATACATATATAGTTCCTCAGTATCACAGAATTTGAAATCAAGTAAAGATTATCAACAACTCTCATTAGATATCACCTAATATCCTATATACTAAGTATAAAAGACCTGATCCTCATAGATTTTGGGAAAAACTCACTATGGAGACTTAAGCATATGATGACCGAATTCAATATAACTTAATAGAACTGATAATTTGGTTAATATGTGAACCGAAAATCAGGATTCTTTTCTGATAACCTTGTGTTTTCGGTGTAAAACTTGACCTCTGTATAGTCCAATAACCACGTTCGATACTAACCAGTTTTCTAAACAAATCGTTTCTTAAATAGTGCATTTGTCTGCAATTCTATTTTCTCGAAACATTTATCTGTTAGAACCCATATTCATTTGAAAATGTGTGTCTGAGTTCGAACGTGATGTCAACGCTATTGAGAAGACAATTTCACATTTAATTGAATTTGATCTGGCAATGTCTATAAGATAGGAATATTACTAGATTCAATCTTACATTTCCCAGACCCAGATCTATAGTATATCAAATCTCATAAAATATATTGGCACCTCGAGTCGGTTCGGTTCAGCATAGAGTATGAACTCGTTTTCTTCAGGGGATTGAGTTATGACTTGTTGGGAATAACACAAAAACATCAATTTAAGGACGCAAGTTAAGAGCCCCTAAAGTTTGGTTGCCTCTACAACAAAGCCTATATAAGAGGGGAGAGATTTGATAGAACTGCTTACATATTGGAAAATTTGTAGGCAGTCCGAAGTTATTCAAAAGATCAAAGTCATGAGCGAAACACCAGGAGCTAATAGCCGTTTCAGTCAAGACTGAGATTAAACCGTTCTGAACTTCCCGATTCACTACTAGTTAAACCTAGGACAAATATATCCAGTGGAAGGGATTAAAACTATAACAAAAACTAAAATCACTTCTAGACACAGTGTTTGTTCAATCCAAGTCGGTTCGGTTCTGCATAGGAAATTAACTCGTATTCTTCATATAACACAAAAGCTCCAATTTATGGACGCATGTTAAGTTTGGTTGCCTCTACAACATAACCTATATAATAGTGGAAAGATTTGATAGAACTGTCTACGTATTGGAAAATTTGTAGACAGTCCGAAGTTATTCAAAAGTTAAAAGTCATGAGAGAAACATCAGGGGCTAATAGCCGTTTCAGTAAAGACTGAAATTGATCCGTTTTGAACGTACCGTTCCACTATCAGTTAACCCTAGAACAAATATATATGAAAGGGATTTAAACTATAACAAAAACTAAAATCGCATCGAGACCCAGTGTTTGTTCAATCCCCTTTTTTTGGTTTTCTGAATAAATCGTAAATTTCCGCTCAGAAAGCATTGTAGATCTAAGGCGACTAACGAAATTAAAAAGTCTAACTTGTGGGAGAAAATTGCCCAGCAAATGTCCGTTACAGTGAAGACTGAGATCACAGAACGTCTGGATTCAAAATCGGATAACGATCATTAACCTTAAGGACAGCTGTAACAAGTAAACGTTTTCTCTCAGAAAAGAGGTTCCAATGACAGAAGAACTATTACAACAAGTTAGATCTAAACGTTCCTGGCATAGTGTTTGCTTTATGATCTGACGTTTAAGAGAAGATTGAGATTACTCCACAAAGATTCGATTCACAAGCGGTGAACTATCGTTAACAGTAGGACAGTTGTACTAAGTGAAAAATTGCGTAATAATCTGCCGTTTAAGAGAAGATTGAGATTATTGCACAAAGATTCGATTCAAAAGCGTATAACGATCGTTAACAATAGGACGGTTGGATCAAGTGAAAGTATTTTCACCAAAGAAGAACTTACATTGACAGCAGAACTATTACAACAACAAGGGAGATCGCAAAGTTCCCAAGTATACTGTTTGCTTAGTAATCTCTTGTTAACATTCTGAATAGAATCCAATCGATATTCGTTTAGTTTCAAAAATAGTGTGCGATTTGTTTTGAATTAAAGTTTTGAAAACTAGTTTAAAATAAATAAAGTAATTTTGACAAATATTTTCCTAAATTAGTCTAATCATTACTAATATTTAAATATAAAATCTAAAAATACTTTAAACAATTTAATAGCTAAAGCTTTTAAACAAATCCTCTCTAAATTAATTAAACAAATTTTCTGAAATGATCTAAATTGATTTCCAATCAATGAATATGCATAAAACAGCAAATATTTTTTGTATATCAATTTTTTTTTTTTTTAAATATGATTTAAACAAAATATACAACAACAACAAAATAACAACATTTTGCTGTTTTTTTTTATACGATTAAGAATTTAATTTGAAAAATATATTTAAAATTCGGCACACTACAGAAGAAACCATAATAATTAATTTCGCAAAATAATAAATTTTGTTTGTATTGAGGTTTTTGTATATTTAAATAAACAAAAATTTCAAAAAAAAAGTGTTTAAATAAAAATCAGTCACACAGTAAAAGCAAAGAACCTGCTTGAAATTCTTAATGAGAAATCTTAAAAAGAATTGACGCTTGTTTCTTTATTTTTTATAAATTAAGTTTAATATTAACAAATTTACGTGTTAATTTTAATTATATTAGCAGAAAGTAATAAAAAATTTGCAAATTTTAATTATTTATTAAAAAAACAAACAAACTAATACTTCTATTACACACTACTTTTGTTTTTATATATAACTTCAAAACTGTCAGCTGTCAAAGTTTAATTGTAGGGTGAGAGTGTAAACGACCTTTATCTATTGTGGTCTTTTTTTTTTTGGCAATTTACATTTTAAAAATATGCGTATTAAACTTAAACGGGAAGCTGTATCAAAAAATTAACATAAATTAACCAAAATTTAAAAACACAAAATAATAATAATAAAAATTTTTTGTTAAAAATCTTCCACAAACAATAGCTATCAAGAAAAAACATCAAAACTCTAAACTAATAATTTTATTTAAACATCCGAAACGTGTGGGCAGCAGTTGTCTTTTATCTTTAATATATTCTTTTGTAAAATAAATTTTACAATCTAGAAACCAGCTATTAAGGTTTTATAAACCTTTTGTTGTGTTTTTTTAAACAGCAAATTAAATTTAATAATTGTTATAAGTAGGCGTTAAAAGCTCGTAAAAATTTTTAACCCGTCATTAAAGTGTTCAATAAAAATTTACACATATTTCATCACTTACTTGAAAATTCATAATAGCCTCTGAAATTTTAATATTTATAGGTTCCACCACCATAACAATATTAAAGGAACCCAATAAACGTTCAGCTAATTTTTCCATTGCCATGGCATAGTTTTCCCATTCGGTATCCAGTTCATTGTAAAAGTGCAGACAACCCTTAATGACATTAATGCAATAATTTGTACAGGGTTTTTCGGTGTAACCCTTGCAAGAGCCACAGTGTTGCATTTTCGTTAGAGCCGAAGTGCAGTCAGCATTTAGACGTACCTGAACAAAAAAGAAATTTTGTTTTAATGTAAGATTTCAGTTATCATTGTAAAGCTTAATTATACTTACATTAACTAATCTTTTGGATACATCTGCAGCTGTGCCTAAAGCTTGTCCATAAGTTCGTGTGGCCACAAAAGATCTCTTAATTTGGACGGATAATTTGTCGGGCACATCACCGAAGGGTTTAAGTTCTTTCATGTGTTCACTAACGCAACGTAGATATCTGAAAAGATAAATTTATAAAAAAAAACTATGTTAAAAATATGAAGACCTTGAAATTTATGTTAAAAGACCATAATCTGAACTATAGACTAAATCATAGTCTGAACTATAGACTAGACCATAGTCTAGACTATAGACTGGACTATAAACTAGACCATAGTCTGGACTATAGAGTAGACCACAGTCTGGACTATAGAACATACCATAGTCTGGACTCTAGACTATAGTCCAGACTATGGTATATACATTGTCTGGACTATAGATTATACCATAGTCTAGACTATAGACTAGACCATATTCTGGACTGTAGACTATACCATAGTTTGATTATAGTCTGGGCTATAGACTAGACCATAATCTGGACTATACCATAGTCTAGACTATAGACTAGACCATATTCTGGACTGTAGACTAGACCATATTCTGGACTGTGGACTAGACCATAGTTTGATTATAGTCTGGGCTATAGACTAGACCATAATCTGGACTATACCATAGTCTAGACTATAGACTAGACCATATTCTGGACTGTAGACTAGACTATAGTTTGATTATAGTCTGGGCTATAGACTAGACCATAATCTGGACTATAGACTAGACCATAGGTAGGTCGTCCTCGCGATGTCATCACTGGGGACACACTTGGGTCCAAAATTTTGATCCCTTTGTGACTAGACCATAGTGTGATTATAGTCTGGACTATAGACTAGATCATTGTCTGGACTATAAAATATCTAGTGTAGTGTCTATAGTCCAGTGTAGTGTCTATTCTATAGTCCAGCCTATGGTCTAATCTATAGTCCAGGCTATAGTCCAAATTATGGTCCAGACTATAGCCCAGATTATGGTCTAGACTATAGACCAGACTATGGTATAGTCTATAGTCTAGATAATGGTATAATCTATAGTCCAGACAATGAATATACCATAGTCTGAATTATAGTCTAGAGTCCAGACTATGGTATATTCATTGTCTGGACTATAGATTATACCATTATCTAGACTATACCATAGTCTGGTCTATAGTCTAGACCATAATCTGGGCTATAGTGTGGATCATAATTTGGACTATAGACTAGACCATAGTTTGGACTATAGACTAGACCATAGTCTGGAGTATAGATTAGACCATAGGCTGGATTATAGAATAGACACTACACTGGACTATAGACACTACACTAGATTATAGACTAGACACTAGTCTGAACCATAGACTAGACACTAGTCTGAACCATAGACTAGACTATAATCTGGACTAGACCATTGTCTGGACTAAGGACTAGACCATAGTCTGGTCTATAGACTAGACCATAGACTATATCATAGTGTGGATATAGACTATAGACCATAGTCTGGTCTAAAAACTGGACCATTGTCTGGTATACAGACTGGACCATTATCTGGTCTACAGACTGGACCATTGTCTGGACTATAGTCTAGACCATAGACTGGACTATAGACTAGACCATAGTCTGGACTATAGACTAGGCCTTAGTCTTGACTATAGACTAGACCATAGTCTGGTCTATAGACTGGACCATAGTTAGAAATATTGACAATACCATAGTATCGACTATGGTCTAGACTAGACCATAGTCTGGACTATGGATTAGACCATAGACTAGATCATAGTCTGGACTATAGACTAGATCAAAGTCTGAACTATAGATTAGACCATAGTCTGGACTATAGACAAGGCCATAGCCTGGACTATAGACTAGACCATAGTCTGGACTATAACTTTTGTTTATCCATTCCCAATCTATAACTATCTATCTAAACTGTATACTATGAAAATAATTTCAGATGTAGAATTCCTGACCTTTTTTCGACGACACTATTTTCATCAAATATATCACACAAACATTAACAATTTATCAAAAGTAGAAAAATTAACACATCTGAATTTAGTGATGATTACATTAAAAATACGGAATTAGAACATGTTTTGTCGCTTATTGATCGTTAATTCTTTTATATTCCTCTTCTAAGTTGAATGTATCAAATTCTCACGTCAATGTTTAATTTCTTAAAACAGAAATAAATAAAATAATGGCAAAACTTTGCATGAAGTAAAGGCAACCAACCAACCAAGTCAGTCGTCGCTCAGTCAGCCAGCCGATCCAACAACTAACAACCTCTATCATCAGAAAGTTTAATGAAATTTAATGCCAAAACACTATATCAACTACACACAAAACAACAAAAACAATATGTTTATTAGGTGGGCTCTTATTTATATGATTCCTTATGATTTTGAGATTATTTAAACAGTTTTAATTAAAAAATTTTTCGAAATTAAGTCTTAGAATTTCAATTAGAACTAGACTATATTTTCAAATTTCTTTATTCGACTTCTTTCTAAATTGTGTTTATTCCTCTTTGTCTGCAGTTGACGGACCAATAGTCAGAAACTAAAGAAGAGAATAGAACCCCTTCCAAGTGATCTAATTTTAAAAGGCGGGTCCTATAAAATGTTTTTGTTAAATCCTCCGTTGCATCTTAGAATTTCTACTAGGACTCGACTAGAGACCCAAAATTTCTTTATTCTTTTTGATTTCTTCCTAAATTGTGTCTGTCTGGAGGTTACGAGATCATTAGTTAGTTTTGGAGAGTAAAGTAGGAAACTTTTTCGAATCGCTCTATTTCTTATGGTCGGGACTAATAATATATTTTAGTTAAATTTATTGTTACTTTTGTGTTCCTTTTAGTGTAGTTTTTAATGTGTTATAAACCTAAACTTAAATTCTTTGGAGCAGAAACTATCGTCGTAAACAATTGAATTGAAAATAAAGAACTAAAGACGAAAAAAAAAAACTAAATAAATAAAAATTGTTTATAAAAAAAGTAGAATAGAAACAGAATCAGCAGCACTTGTAGGTCTGCATCATTAACTCGTTAAATTAAATACTGCTTAAAACAAACGTTACAAAGAAACTACATATGAGAGTATTACATCTATAAGACAGAGAGGGGATAAATTACAAACTGAAAAGAGAATTAGAAATTAGAAATGAATAATTTCAATTTAAGTCTTAAATTAGATCTTTTAAAGAAAGTCTAGATATAATTTGTGCATAAAAATAATGTCGAAATTCCCGGGAATATAAGGATTCAATCTCGATTGGATATTCCTGAAGTTCTAGGCTAATTCGATTTGGAAGAAAGTCTTTTGTCACAGGTCCTAAAACTGTAGTTCTTAATATGTTTTACACTCTCTGATTTTAACAAACAGTCTCATCGTTATTGTAAAGACCTGCGACTTCTGAAAACCCCAAAATGTCTACTATTCCTTTATGTACTTTTTCACTAGTTGTGTGAATTCGATTTTAAAGTTCTTTTTCATGGATCCGACAACTCAAATTCTTAATAAAACTTTGAAGCTGTCATTTATGTCTTATTGTTAAGACTGGTTTACAACTACAAAGCAAACTTTGGATTGTACTGTAATTTTTCACTAATTTTTGAGGAGATTCAAAAGTTATTTTTCATGGATCCGTCAAGTCGAATTCTCAATAACACTTTCGCTAGTTATCTTGAGCTTGGGGCTGTCATTTATGATATATTGTTAAGACCAGTGACTTTTCTACAGTTACCCCAAAATGATTATCGTTTTCTCATGTCTTCTTGTAAAAAACAGTGTACAAAAGTCAGCTACGGTTACTAATTTTTTGAACTCCTGGGTCAATAATATCTTCTGTAGGTGTAGGCCCTAATATCGTTACCGCATTTGCCTAATTGAAGTTAATGTTCTAGTATATGTAAAGTAATCGACGTGTTCTAGTTTTCCTGGACACATTCTCAGATATCGGGGAATGTTAACGTCTGTTGGACTAATCCTTTACCGATCCAATTGTTTGGAACTTAAAAACTAAACATTGGAGAGGCGAATGGAAAAGGTCGCTGTGCTGTATGAATAACAGATTTTCGGAAACTATTCATGTAAAGGAATTGACGTGTTCTAGTTTTTCTGGACACATTCCCAGATGTCGGTTATCGGCTGCTGGACTAATGGTTTACCAATCCAATTGTTAGGAACTTAAAAACCAAACATTGGAGAGGCGAATGAAAAATGTCGCTGTCTGTATGGATAATAGACTTTCGAAAACTGTAGACTTTTAGTTTTAAAAGCCCAGTAAAAGATCCAACATAAGACCTTGTCTATACTCATGAGTATGAACTCTTCGAATAGTGCTGAAGTAGTATAAGATCGTGATTCAAAATTCACCAAGTTTGGAAAACAAAGTTCCTATATACGATGAAGAGTGAAGTGCATCAGGTTCAGCATTATATTTACACCGGGTACATCAATGTATGGCAGATTATTTATTGAATCGGTCGTCTGGACGTTAATTTTAGACATATTTATAAGTAGCGCAGATATTCTAATTGTCCTATTGTTTACCAAACCTATTGTCATAAAGTTGGAAGCCAAACTTTGGTGACTTTAAATGGTCACTCTTCTAATTAAGTAGTAAATTTGATCAATCATATCTGAAGATGATGTTCCAAAACCCAGTTATTGAACAAACTAAGTTGGGTGTGATCATTAATTTTGGATCTTAATTCAGTTGGACCTTGTACGAAATGCGAGGGTATGAAACAAAGGAGAGGATATTTTGAAAACTCACCACTTTTAACCGAATAATTTCTAAAACTGTACCCCTTTCCAACACTACATTCGCTTGGCGTCTCATATTCGCCGTACTTTCAAAGTTACGGGTTAAAATTTTTAACAAATTTACAATTGTTCGGCGCTTCATTATTGTTCAAATGTCATCTTATTCTTGTTATTGTTGGCGATAATTGTGTTTTTAAAAATGTTAACGCATTGGTAACATGAACTTTTACGGTTTATTGTTTTAAGTATTATTTTTCTGTGTAGAAAATCAAAAAAACAGCAACAAAAACAACTTTAAAATACAAACATTTAAAAGTTTTTTTTTCTTTTAAAATTAAAAAAAATCTTGTATTTATTTGTGGAAATATAATCACTGCTTACAAATGTAAGTACTTGACCATCGATAAAAACAAAGTTGGTCCCAGCACTTGGTAGTTGTAAATGTTTTGACCACAAAAGTACCGGTTGTTGTAAAGTTTGCAAGTTTTGCTTTTTATGAATGAAATTTACTTTGGTTGCAGCTACACTTTTTTTTTTTAAAAAAGACAAAGAATTTGAAACAAGAAATTTAACAAAATAAAAAAATGACATAAAAAGTGCGTTTTGGCTTGTTGGTTTTGGTATTAAATTACATACTTTGCAAACATAATGTTAAGGCTGACAATGATGACCAATGTTTACTTTTTTAAACACTTTTTAAAAATAACAATAATAAGATTTCCAGCTTATACTTACTTTTCATCAAATGTATATTGAGCATTTAACACTTGAAACATTTTCTGATACAATGTATTGAAAAATGTATCCATAACATCTAGCAAATCGACACGGCCACGTGTATAATAGTTTTCCAATTCATTAAAGAGATCAGAAAATACATAGGAATTCTGTTGATAGATCACACCATAGGTGCGTGTAAACATATTGTGGAATTCCGCTTTGGATTCTTGCAGTAGTTTGCGAAAATGTTCTATAAATATAGAGAAAGAAGAAACAAAATAAATGAAATTAGTATGAACAAATTAGTTTCTTTTTAAGGAAATTAACATAAACAAATAATTTAATAGCATAAACAATATTTTTAAATGGATGCTGACAAAAATTTACATAAAAATGTTAAAAGTTTAGATTAAAGATTCCAAATTATAATTCTATTTCAGAAATTTTCAAAAACTCTTGTGACTTTCGTATTTAAACGATAATTCCGGATATTTTCCATAAAGCTATTACATTATTCTCAGAAAATCCCAAAATTAAAGGCTCCAATTCGTCTAAATACATAAGTTATATACAAACGATTCTCCGTACCCTAGACAACGAATGGACTGGATAAATTTGATTCTCCATATAAGCAGATTTGAGTCGCAATACATAATTGTTGTCGGAGTTCCTAAACATTTCATGGAATTAAATTTAAAGAGAAGGGTAGTGGGAATGTGCTGAAGGCTTGATGTGGACTCCGATTTTGACACCAAACATGTTAGAGTCGATTTTAAAAGAGTATAGCTTTTTAAAATCGACAAAATTTTAAAAAAGTCAAAACCCTGAGACCAAGTTAGACTTTTCTAAAGGATGACATACAACATTTTATAAACAATGTCTTGACTAACGTCTCTAAAAGGGTAAAATATTGATTTTTTCAAATTTCAAGACATAATATCTCAAATTCCAGATGTGATGGAGAAATTCTGAAGTCAGATTCAGCGGGGCTCAATTCTTTAGTAAAGTATACTTTGGTCTCTAAGTTAAAAATTTGTCGGCCTATGTTATCCAGTAGACGATGTTGAGTACTTGACCTCTTAGATCAGTAGAATCTTATGCGAAAGGGATATATCCGGCTGTAAAATTCAGCAATTTAATGTTGTTGTAAAATACATACTCTTCTCAGGTTGTTTACATATTCGATTATCTTGTATTTGGGGAAAACCCAGATTTTAAAGGCCACCGAAACTGACTAAATATGAAGCATATATGCCGAATATCCTATAAACGAAGGTTGACATGAAGTTGAACTGATTAGAACTCAATTATTATACAAATCATCTAGAGGTAACTATAGGTTAGGTTCAAAGGACAACCACTCCAAGAACATCTCACTAGGTTTTATACGATTGTTGGTACCTTTCTGATACCCAAGGAATTGGACTTCACTGCTTTCAACGTTAAAACATCTGGTTCCATTGATAAGCTTAAGATTAATAGGACATAGTTTCTCCATTTTTGGTGAAAAGTCGGGCAGTAGAGAAGGCAACATTACAGTTGAATGTGTGCTTATCCTATCATTACCTACTACACTGTTAGTTATGGTGAAGTTATTCATAGGTTAGGTTGAAATGAGGATGTATGAGACCTCAAATCCGACAAAATACACCTAGGCCACTATCGAGCCTGTTGTGCGCTTCTTTACTTGGAAATGTTGTGGGTGAGAGAAACCTTATATAATGCTTTATGAAGGTGTTATCGACAGATTTCATAAATTCGGTTTCCTAGACGTAATTTATTAAAATTTCTCAATCAATGTCCGTGAGGAATATGGAATAACATCGCTTAGAAGATATTTGGATCTAATTTTAATAAAAGAAGTTTCACTGTATGAACCGCTTTAACTTTACATTCTTCTGAGTCCGCTCATAAAATTTAGCGTAGTTGTACCGTAATCCTCAGACTAGCTCAATCTGAGGAGGCTTCTAGTTCTCTTTTCTTTTAAGTTACCTCGTAGGCCGTATGGAATTCTCGCCCCTCATGTGAAATCACACCGGTTTTGCATTCGTTGGGCGAATTTCTTCCAGTTCCCTTCCCTTTGTAGCAACTATATTCACTCTTTCCTTGTCGATTATTCCCGAGTGGCCTGGTACCCATACGATGCAAAGCTTTCCTCTAGAAGACTATTCGGTAAAGGCTCTATATCAGTCCAATACATACGGTCTTAGATTTAAACATATCGCCTGACTTCGCCTTAATTTCCAACAGGCCTCATTTTTATTCTAATCCAGTTTATTTATTACATTATTGCACAGATTTCTTTCTGGAAGCTAGTGTTGTGATTAGGTAGACGGAAGACATCTATGGTTAGCCTCAAAATAACTTCCCGATTTGGAATCATTTTACGATTCAGTTTCAAAATACAGTGAATGCATTGAATCAAGACAATTTGATGAAAAAGTAGTCGAAATTTGCCAAAATGTTAATTAATTTTCATCTATTCTTAACCCTGATTTCAATGCAATTTCACCGATATGTCTCAATGACTTTAAAGGAAACAATAACCCTCACTAAAGCATGAATACACACAAAACACTTTAATTAAAATGTGTCCAACATATATGTAAATAGTTCAGACTACTAAAGAAATTTATAAAGAATCACATTTTCAGCAATTTTAATCACAGCATGAATCACAGACATCACCAATTAATATTACAATTTGTTACAAACATTACAATAAAACAACTATACCCGCCTTTCCTGTATAACTTGTTTATAACAACCACCAAAAAAAACTAAATAAATCTATAATTTCCGCCACTATATATGATGACCACTTGAGACAACTAACTAACCCAGCAAACATAGACATTTTGTTTGTAATTTTTTTTAGAATGACTCAGACAGACTGTCAAATACAAATTCCAAAATAAAACAATGAAAATACGAATTTAACATTAAACAGAAGCCCGCATGCGCCATCACTTCAAATCGTCGTCATTATAAAAATCCTCCTCCTACCATGACATACAATGTCTGCTGTCTATAGAGCCTCAAGAGCAACATCTTCAGCTTCACACTAATCTTTGTCTCATAATGTAGTCTCACGGTTTGATGCAGCTTAATGCAGTGATGGGCAACACTTGTTCAATCCCACTTCAGATTGGTTGTGAAGAAAAGTTATTGCTTTAAATTGGAGTAATATAGTCGAAAATTACCCGACAAACGTCCGTGACCCGTTTGCAATTGGTTCATTTGCACATGTAGATAACGGTGTTCTAGAGCTACAGTTCTTTAATGATTGTCACAAAGTAATTTCTTATAGTTTCTACATTCGTGTCATAAGGTTTCGCAAAACCGAAGTTTGTTGTCTGCGCACAAGTGACTAGATAATGTAGATGTCCCCCTAACTGATATAAACTACCGGACGGACACATACTCAATCATACACCAACTGATCTTGTCTCAGTAGCTCTTGTAAAATGTTTAATAAATATTTTAACTCCAGCTACTTGTGGTGTCACAATTTTTGTTTTTGGGATTTTTTACATTGTACAATTTTTAATGTCAAAAACTGGTGCCAAATGACATGTAACATTAAACGCCTCTAACCCAACTTTAACACGAAATTTATAGAGGTTTGTCTTTTTTCTAACTGTTGGATACTTTTTGTCTGCTACTTGAATAATAAATGAACAGAAAAATATCTCAAGTGGGTGTCGAATATTGTTTCGGCTTTAATTTCGGTTTTGCTCAGTTTGGTTGTTTGTTTTCCTTCCCATATTTTGGGTTTATTCTTTCAAAATTTTGTGGGTTTTTAATGGTAAATTATAATGTTAGAAGTCAAATGAATTCTAATTATATACGTACAAGTGTTTAGGAAGTGATTTATGGTGAGTTGAAAATACAATTTTTTTTCGTTTTAAAATTCTGAATTTAAAAATAAACATATTTTTGGGTTTAATTTTTGAAAATTTATGATTTGTGAGTTTATTAGGAAATATTAATGCTGTTAATTTAATAAAATAGCAATTGCAGTTCTAGTTCAGTTCTAGTTCAGTTTTAGTTCAGTTCTAGTTCAGTTCTAGTTCAGATCTAGTTCAGTTCTAGTTCAGTTCTAGTTCAGTTCTAGTTCAGTTCTAGTTCAGTTCTAGTTCAGTTCTAGTTCAGTTCTAGTTCAGTTCTAGTTCAGTTCTAGTTCAGTTCTAGTTCAGTTCTAGTTCAGTTCTAGTTCAGTTCTAGTTCAGTTCTAGTTCAGTTCTAGTTCAGTTCTAGTTCAGTTTCTAGTTCAGTTCTAGTTCAGTTCTAGTTCAGTTCTAGTTCAGTTCTAGTTCAGTTCTAGTTCAGTTCTAGTTCAGTTCTAGTTCAGTTCTAGTTCAGTTCTAGTTCAGTTCTAGTTCAGTTCTAGTTCAGTTCTAGTTCAGTTCTAGTTCAGTTCTAGTTCAGTTCTAGTTCAGTTCTAGTTCAGTTCTAGTTCAGTTCTAGTTCAGTTCTAGTTCAGTTCTAGTCAGTTCAGTTCTAGTTCAGTTCTAGTTCAGTTCAGTTCTAGTTCAGTTCTAGTTCAGTTCTAGTTCAGTTCTAGTTCAGTTCTAGTTCAGTTCTAGTTCAGTTCTAGTTCAGTTCTAGTTCAGTTCTAGTTCAGTTCTAGTTCAGTTCTAGTTCAGTTCTAGTTCAGTTCTAGTTCAGTTCTAGTTCAGTTCTAGTTCAGTTCTAGTTCAGTATTCTAGTTCAGTTCAGTTCTAGTTCAGTTCTAGTTCGGTTATATTTCAGTTCAGAGATACCATCTTTTCTTATAATAAAAATCCAAAAATTATCAGAACTTACCATTAAATTTTTGTGCTTTACCACTCAGCATAGTTGACATTTTCAAAATTTGTTCTTTGGAATGTTTCTCCAATTGCAGACGTGACTGCATGGCCATTTTTGTTTCCATACTATGTGTACAGCAAGTACCCACCGAAGGTGATTCACAATAACGCAAACCCATTTCTGTAAAATAAAGAAACAAAAATAAGAAAATAAATAATAAATCAAATACAAAGGAAAAGATAACAACAATGTTGTAATGAAAATTTAGTTTTTCTCTCTTAAAAATACATACTTATTATTAACAAGAACTTGAGGATTAATAAAGTTGTCATAATCTTTAAATTACACAAATAGTTAAAATCCATTTGAAAAATACACAATAGAATCTAACAAACAAATAGTGAAGCAAGTATTCGGTACGAGAATTTTCAGCAAACACCTTCCTTCTTTCTATTCTTTAACTTTTTGGAATTTTCAATTTAAGAAATGAACTAAATAAATATTGAAAAGTAATGTGAGGTAATGAATTTTCCTAGAAATAGCAACAAACCGTAACCAGAAGCACTTAATAATAATCTAAAAGATTTCTGAGGAAAAATAAATATTCAAAATGATTCGAAATGGAGAAAAAAACGAATGAATTTTGTGTGCATCTTAAAAAGAAGAAAAATCTTAAAGATATGTATTTGGAAGAAAATGCATTGAAGTATGATGATTATTATGAGTTGCTAGTGGCGTATTGATATTGTTTTCTTTGGCGTGCGTTTATGGAGTGTAAGTTGAACTAAGAAGGTGTTAAATGCCCTACATTAGGTTATTTACATTTCCAGGAAACCTTCCATCAGTTACGAGTTTGAAAGAAAGGTAATTGACACATAATATACGTCCTATAACATTTAGTTTTAGTTCTAGTTTTGTCCTAGTTCTGTTCTAGTTCTGTTCTAGTTCTGTTCTAGTTCTGTTCTAGTTCTGTTCTAGTTCTGTTCTAGTTCTGTTCTAGTTCTGTTCTAGTTCTGTTCTAGTTCTGTTCTAGTTCTGTTCTAGTTCTGTTCTAGTTCTGTTCTAGTTCTGTTCTAGTTTCTGTTCTAGTACTGTTCTAGTTCTGTTCTAAGTTCTGTTCTAGTTCTGTTCTAGTTCTGTTCATAGTTCTGTTCTAGTTCTGTTCTAGTTCTGTTCTAGTTCTGTTCTAGTTCTGTTCTAGTTCTGTTCTAGTTCTGTTCTAGTTCTGTTCTAGTTCTGTTCTAGTTCTGTTCTAGTTATTTTCTAGTTCTGTTCTAGTTCTAGTTCTGTTAGTTCTGTTCTAGTTCTGTTCATGTTCTAGTTCTGTTCTAGTTCTGTTCTAGTTCTGTTCTAGTTCTGTTCTAGTTCTGTTCTAGTTTGTTCTAGTTCTGTTCTAGTTCTGTTCTAGTTCTGTTCTAGTTCTGTTCTAGTTCTGTTCTAGTTCTGTTCTTGTTCTGTTCTAGTTCTGTTCTAGTTCTGTTCTAGTTCTGTTCTAGTTCTGTTCTAGTTCTGTTCTAGTTCTGTTCTAGTTCTGTTCTAGTTCTGTTCTAGTTCTGTTCTAGTTCTGTTCTAGTTCTGTTCTAGTTCTGTTCTTGGTCTGTTCTAGTTCTGTTCTAGTTCTGTTCTAGTTCTGTTCTAGTTCTGTTCTAGTTCTGTTCTAGTTCCGTTCTAGTTCTGTTCTAGTTCTGTTCTAGTTCTGTTCTAGTTCTGCTTTAGTTCTGTTCTAGTTCTGTTTTAGTTCTGTTCTAGTTCTGTTCAAGTTCTGTTCTAGTTCTGTTCTAGTTTTGTTCTAGTTCTGTTCTAGTTCTGTTCTAGTTCTGTTCTAGTTCTGTTCTAGTTCTGTTCTAGTTCTGTTCTAGTTCTGTTCTAGTTCTGTTCTAGTTCTGTTCTAGTTCTGTTCTAGTTCTGTTCTAGTTCTGTTCTAGTTCTGTTCTAGTTCTGTTCTAGTTCTGTTCTAGTTCTGTTCTAGTTATGTTCTAGTTCTGTTCTAGTTCTGTTCTAGTTCTAGTTCTGTTCTAGTTCTGTTCTAGTTCTGTTCTAGTTCTGTTCTAGTTCTGTTCTAGTTCTGTTCTAGTTCTGTTCTAGTTCTGTTCTAGTTCTGTTCTTGTTCTGTTTTAACAAAAACAGAACTAGAACGGATGTGTATCTCCAATTCTAAATCTGTTCTTGCAAGAGGAGATAGTACAGGCTATTAAGATAAACTTAGTGATCTTGTAGTGTGTCAAATGACCGACATACAAAGTATTTATATCAAATCTTCTACCCTTTATGTATTACCATTATATGTAGCCTTAAACTAACACATTAAAAAACATATTTATGGTTGTGAATGTCGAACTAAGTATCGTTAAGAAACTGCTCAAGACGTCGATAACAAGCAATGAGTTCGGTTGAAAAAGTTAGTCCTCCAAAACTCTTAAAGTAGAGTTAATGCCAGACGATGAAAAAGTAAGTAAATTGTTTATTTAAGCATTTAACACATTCGCACCACTAAAACATGCAATCGAAATGGTACAAAAACATCATTATCACCATCATCATACACCAACTAGCAGCCAACAATAGATGCGGAAAGAATCTGGGCAACATTCAACACTCTTACAGAGAAAATGTATTTAACAACTTTTCTATAACAGAAGTATTGGTAATGATATTTTAGCCTTTTTAATATATATATATTTTGACGACATGGTTGACGGTTTCACTGCTTACTGGCGAACTCTTTAGACTGGTAGCTGTTGGATTTGTTTGTTATTATTTGCCTTAAAGAAATGCCAAGAGCTTGGCTGGTTGAATGACTGACTGACTGAATGGCTGCCTGTTACAGGTATAGAATAAATATCTTTTGGTGTTTGTTGACATTTTTATGATGCAGTCTACAACTACATGTACTTGGGAGCCAACATCAAACAATATCAGGCAAACCAATAAAGATTTAACTATGTTAAGCATTTTTTACTTGAGATTTTTATTAAGACAACCATCTAAAGCAACGATTTTTCTTCTCAACTCTATTGGGGTTTATTTCACATTTTCTTGACGCTCTATTATTATACGCGTCCCATTATAGTGTTGGGAAATTTAACAAAGAGAGTGAGAAAAACAATTTAAGTTGGTTCTTTGTGAAATCAATGAAATTCTTTTGGCATTTTTTACCTCTTTTTGCTATAGTTTTAGTTTTCACCAAGGGAAACCGGCAATCATTGAACAATTTTCTTTGTGAATTTACTATAAGACTGTGAGTTGAATTTTCTCAATAAGAAGAAAACTTGTAGTTGAGAGTATTGATTTATTTATTTCCGGTGGGGGTATTGAGTGCAGGAAAATGAAAATTATTAATGTCTGAGAATGATTTTTTTGGTGGGTTGGCTAGAACTCATTTAGAATATAAATCTTGGGTATTTATACAGGTTTTTATGGTAAAATGAAAACTGAGTGATTTAAATTGATAAGATAAATTCACTTTGTTATCACATTAATAGCACGTTCACTTCGAAAAGCGAACTTGACATCTAGTAGGTTATGGCTCAGTTCTAGTTCAGTTCAAGTTCAGTTCTGGTTCAGTTTTTGTTCAGTTCTAGTTTAGTTCTAGTTCAGTTCTAGTTCTAGTTCAGTTCTAGTTCTAGTTCAGTTCTAGTTCTAGTTCAGTTCTAGTTCAGTTCTAGTTCAGTTCTAGTTCAGTTCTAGTTCAGTTCTAGTTCAGTTCTAGTTCAGTTCTAGTTCAGTTCTAGTTCAGTTCTAGTTCAGTTCTAGTTCAGTTCTAGTTCAGTTCTAGTTCAGTTCTAGTTCAGTTCTAGTTCAGTTCTAGTTCAGTTCTAGTTCAGTTCTAGTTCAGTTCTAGTTCAGTTCTAGTTCAGTTCTAGTTCAGTTCTAGTTCAGTTCTAGTTCAGTTCTAGTTCAGTTCTAGTTCAGTTCTAGTTCAGTTCTAGTTCTAGTTCAGTTCTAGTTCAGTTCTAGTTCAGTTCTAGTTCAGTTCTAGTTCAGTTCTAGTTCAGTTCTAGTTCAGTTCTAGTTCAGTTCTAGTTCAGTTCTAGTTCAGTTCTAGTTCAGTTCTAGTTCAGTTCTAGTTCAGTTCTAGTTCAGTTCTAGTTCAGTTCTAGTTCAGTTCTAGTTCAGTTCTAGTTCAGTTCTAGTTCAGTTCTAGTTCAGTTCTAGTTCAGTTCTAGTTCAGTTCTAGTTCAGTTCTAGTTCAGTTCTAGTTCAGTTCTAGTTCAGTTCTAGTTCAGTTCTATTTCAGTTCTAGTTCAGTTCTAGTTCAGTTCCAGTTCAGTTCAGTCAGTTCTAGTTCAATTCAGTTCTAGTTCAGTTCTAGTTCTAGTTCAGTTCTAGTTCAGTTCTAGTTCAGTTCTAGTTCAGTTCTAGTTCAGTTCTAGTTCAGTTCTAGTTCAGTTCTAGTTCAGTTCTAGTTCAGTTCTAGTTCAGTTCTAGTTCAGTTCTAGTTCAGTTCTAGTTCAGTTCTAGTTCAGTTCTAGTTCAGTTCTAGTTCAGTTCTAGTTCAGTTCTAGTTCAGTTCTAGTTCAGTTCTAGTTCAGTTCTAGTTCAGTTCTAATTCAGTTCTAGTTCAGTTCTAGTTCAGTTCTAGTTCAGTTCTAGTTCAGTTCTAGTTCAGTTCTAGTTCTAGTTCAGTTCTAGTTCAGTTTCTAGTTCAGTTCTAGTTCTAGTTCTAGTTCAGTTCTAGTTCAGTTCTAGTTCAGTTCTAGTTCAGTTCTAGTTCAGTTCTAGTTCTAGTTCGTTCTAGTTCAGTTCTAGTTCAGTTCTAGTTCAGTTCTAGTTCAGTTCTAGTTCAGTTCTAGTTCAGTTCTAGTTCAGTTCTAGTTCAGTTCTAGTTCAGTTCTAGTTCAGTTCTAGTTCAGTTCTAGTTCAGTTCTAGTTCAGTTCTAGTTCAGTTCTAGTTCAGTTCTAGTCAGTTGTAATTCTCCTTTATTTAGAGTTACACATTATCCTCTTACAAGTACCCTGTGTGCTAAGCTTAAAATTATGACAAATTTCTAACGGATTTATACATCTTATAACTCCTGCCCTAGTACAGAAAAATAAATTTAATTTACCTTCAAAATATTAAAATTATGTTAATTAAATAAGCAAAACTAATTTGTATTATTAAAGCCATACAACATTTATTTACCTAGACTTGTAAAGTAGCAATGATAAAAAGGATTCCTTTATTCTGGTGTTCTGCC